CGCGTTCATGGCCGGTGGAAATAAAGACCCACGTGTCACTGTACGGATGATGATTAAACAGTTCCGAGAGTACGCCTCACTGTTGCATCCGATCAAACACAAGGTCCCGAAGGCCGCCTTTGTAGCAAGTGGACCTCAACTGAACGGCGAAGACGCAGATGACGCCGCCGAGAAGGCCCCAGGAAAGCGAGGTCGCGGCAAAAGCCGAAAGACTCCCGGACCGGGCAAGGATAGGAAACAATGCAAGGTATGCGACCAACAGCACGAACTAAAGGATTGTTGGTACGCGTTTCCGCACAACGCCCCTGTTTGGTGGAAGCCACGTGAAACACTGAAGACGATGGCTCAGCACCGAATTGATAGCGACACTGATCTCGAACAAGAGATAAGGGGAGCCAAGAGAGCTAAATTAGGGACACCCCAGATTAAGAAGTCACAGAGCACTCCGGTAGAGGATACTGTCGAGTGACCAGAAGGCCGGAACATAGGCCAGATCAACCTTATAATCTGTGCCTCATCATTTATGGCAAAGGAATCTAAGTACCCACTTCAACGCTCTTACATAATGGACTCCGGAACCACTATACACGTCGGCAACGACCTCGGACGATTCACGAATATTCGACCGCCTATGACAGGAGACTTCCTCTGGGCAGGCAATACAAGGGTGTGGATTAAGGCATACGGTTCAGTTACTCTGAGAGTAGATAGCGCAGACGGTCACCGTCTCCTCTACCTCGAGAACGTCGCCTACTGCCCTGACCTACACTGCAGTCTTGTCTCCTTCCGGATACTCCGCCGGCAAGGTCTTTGGTGGGACACCAAATCCGACCCAACAATCCTCCGACGGTCCGACGATAGCGAACTGGCAGTACTACACGAGAAGTACGGACAATGGATACTGGAACTCAATGACGCTGAGGCGCGAGCAGCGTTTTCAACGCAGCAGCCAACGCGCAGGACAGCCGTACGAAAACGAGCTGAGGCTATAGTCTGGCACAAGAGACTTGGCCACCCTGGATCCGACGCCCTAGAACACCTAGTGAACCAATCTGAGGGGGTGAAGATCGTCGGGGTCCCCACAGTGAAATGCGATGCCTGTGGGATATCAAAGTCGAAGCGAATGATACGACGGACGCCCCGGACTATTTTAGAAGGTCCGGGAGAGCGAGTTGCGATCGACTTTCACGACTACGAAGCAGAAAGTACGACCAAGGAGAAGAGTCAGATGCTTATTAACTGCCGCGTTACGGGATACATATGGGATTTCTATCTTAGTGACAACCGAACGGCAAGAGTCATCCTTAAAAGCCTTAAGATGTTCGTCACCTTTATGATGAATCAATTTGGTATAACGGTAAAGGTTATTGAGACGGACAACGAGATATTTTCCGTGAAGCCAGAGGTCGCCAGATGGTGCAGAACAAGAGGTATAGTACTCGAGCCTTCCGCCCCCGATACGCAAGCGCAAAACGGAGGAGCCGAACGCTCAGGGGGTGTGGTAAAAGAAAAGGGTCGAGCAATGCGACTCGATGCACATCTGCCGTGGGACCAATGGCCGGAAATCGCCCGGACCGCCGTCTACCTACACAACAGGACGCCGAAATATCAGAACCGCTGGAGATCTCCATACGAGATGTTCTTCACGGCAATCGCTTTCCAGAATGGAGTTGTTACATCACCACGCAAGCCCAACCTGTCGCATTTACGAGCGTACGGCTGTAAGGCATTTGCGATGACGGATGACACGAAGCGAGGAAAAGGACGTCTACAGAGATTTGACCCGAAAGCCTGGATAGGGTACTTAGTTGGTTACCGTTCGACGAACATATTCCGAATTTGGGTACCATCTATAGGCAAGGTCATTAGCACTCGCGACGTTGTATTCGACGAGGAAGTCGTATATAGTGGAGAGCATAAAGAGGTTATGGACAATCTTATGCATAGCACTACAGAGGAGATAGCAGCATGGATTCGAACTATTGAACTGCCCCCTGGACCAAATCCCACACGGGAAGAACTTGGAACTTTCTACGAAGATGAGACCATTGCTAGAGCGCCGGAAAATGGGCGGCTCGAGTATGATGAGGCGGGAAGGAAGGTAGTACCTTATCCGACGCCACCACATACGCCCCCACCGGCAGCACTGCTTGCTCAAATGCTAACTAATGTGGAACACCCCTTCAGGGACGATGATACCGGAGGCTACGGCCTACAATCCGAAGAGACTGCCTACGGGAAACAAGGTCTTGACACTAGCTACGGCGAACATGGTGTACAGACTGGCGCACAGCGCGAACATGGTCTATCCGCAGGCGTTCCACGCGAACAATGCGATGCCGGAGGCTACGGCCTACAATCCGAAGAGACTGCCTACGGGAAACAAGGTCTTGACACTAGCTACGGCGAACATGGTGTACAGACTGGCGCACAGCGCGAACATGGTCTATCCGCAGGCGTTCCACGCGAACAATGCGATGCCGGAGGCTACGGCCTACAATCCGAAGAGACTGCCTACGGGAAACAAGGTCTTGACACTAGCTCACAGTCCGCAACAATCAATTAAGTGGGTCCTAGAAGGTTCAGATTGGATTGATTGATTACCGCTTTAAGCCTAGTAGTTACCTATAGGAGTTTAAGCCCTACCTAGATAGGTAAGTGGGTCTAGGAGAGTGACCGGATTGAATTGATTGTTGCGGAGTCTACACTAGCTACGGCAAACAAGGTCTCGCGAGTGGTATCCTCCATCCGGAACACAGGATGTTGAAGGAGCCATGGGCAGCCGCCTTTATGGCAGGCACCAAGGCAGGAAACGTTCAAAACTTGGCAGGAGAGCGACTGGACAAGGCAAAGCTTGAGCGTATGATGCGAAACGGCAAGAAGCCTCATCGCAGCCAGCTGCCACCGCCTCCCCAAGCGAACGGCCTGCGAGAGGATCACGAGTTGTTCTATTTTTTCAAAGAGGCTGAGATTACACATCTCCATAGCCACAAGGAAACCAGATCCTGGTCAGAGGTCCCGGCGAAGACGGCTCGGAAGACCGACCAGCAGGTACTGGACTCAATGTGGGTATACACCTACAAATTTGACAAGCACCATCGATTCCAGAAGTGTAAGGCGCGATTGGTAGTGCGTGGAGACCAGCAACGAAATGTCACCGCACAAGAAACCTACGCTGCTACACTGGCCGGAAGATCGTTTCGGATGCTAGTGTCGATTGCGCCTCGGTTTGACCTAGAGCTGAAGCAATACGACGTATCGAACGCCTTCGTCAACGCAGTATATTGATCGAACAGTGTACATGCGGATGCCCCCAGGATACAGGAAGCAGGGAACAATACTGCAACTAAACAAAGCGCTGTACGGCCTACGGATCTCGCCATTGCTCTGGCAAAGACACTTCACTGCCTTCCTTCTAGAAATCGGGTTCTCGCCAGTTCCCCACGAACCTTGCTGCATGATCCGAGACGGAGTGTTCATCTTCTTTTATGTTGATGACATTATCCTTGCCTCTTCGAAACGGCACGCGGAAGTAGCTCGGAAAGTGGAAGAGGAACTGAAACAGCGATACAACCTGACCGGAGGAAAGGATTTGCAGTGGTTTTTAGGAGTAGAAGTTATACGGGACCGAGAGAAGCGAAAGATCTGGCTGTCACAGAAAGCTTATGTTGAGAAGATTGCACGGCTGGCAACGAACAAGGACCAACGACACAACACACCAATGGCTAGAGTCGAACTAGTTGCACGTGAGGGTTTGGCGACTCCTGGAGAGATTAACTTGTATCAACGCAAGATTGGATCGTTACTCTTCGCCGCCGTCAACACCCGACCCGATGTCGCATTCCCAGTATCACGACTCGCCCGGTTCCTCACAAACCCTGGTCCACTACATCAAGAAGCCGCTGACCGAGTGCTGTTGTACCTGGAGTCAACCAAGCTTCTATCCTTATCATTCGGAGGAGACGACCAATTGGTAGTAGCTAGCGATGCATCCTTTGCGGACAACACCGCGGATCGCAAGAGCTCCCAAGGGTACGTTATCAAGCTATTTGGAGGACTGATCGCATGGAGGGCGAACAAACAAGATACCGTCACGACATCTACGACAGAAGCAGAACTCCTCGCGCTATCGCAAGTGGCTAAGGAGTCCATGTTTGTGCGGATGCTGCTAGAGGAGCTTCGGGTAGAGTTGACGGAGAAGACAATTACGATACAGTGCGATAATACGCAGACGATCCGGCTGATCAACGAGGAGATCTCTCAGCTGACGACGAAACTCCGTCACGTGGACATCCACAATCACTGGCTGAGGCAAGAGGCAAAGCGAAAGTCTATCAGAGTCGTGTATGTACCGTCTGGCGAAATGCTCGCCGATGGTTTCACGAAGACCCTGCCTGCCAACAACTGGCCCCAGTTCTTGACGCAGGTCGGACTGGTTGAAGTGAAGGAACGAGACGTAGAGGAAGCAGATCCAGAGGAAATTCTAGAGAAGATGGAAAGTCTTGTTATATAGTCCGGTATGAATGTCGCAAAGACCACTCCAGCTCAGGCTGCCGAGGAGCGCCGAGCTGAGGGGGTGTGTCAGATTGAGGCGAGGTTTTGCTCCATGATCGAGCCGATGGTGGTTGGGGAAGGACATGAGACCCCCAAACCAGGGCTAGCGCCGGGACTTAGCACTGCCAAGCCCGAGGCGAGGCCACCTCCCACAGACAGAGCCGTAGACAGACACAGACAATACACTCTTGATCCCATCCATAAAAATCTGACATAAGGACTTGATTGTTCTATGTAAGTAGAAGACTTACCTTGATCTTAATGACTCATATTGTGCTAAATTTTCTGGCTAGATTAGTCTAAGATCTAGTCACGTGGACCTATTTATAGCCGGACCGGTCCGATCATCTAGACCGGTCCGACCACGGTCTCAAAAAATCGCCAGACCAGACCAAGTCTTGGCGGTCTAGACCAGACCAAGACCAAGTCAGACCAGACCATTCCGATCACTGCTCGGACGGGGCGCTTGTATCGTTCAAAAAGGCGATCACTTGTTGTACCCAACCACTGATAGCATCCACATCTTTACGTAGGCTCTGGGCTGCGTTTGCTGCTTGTGCGACCTTTCTGATCTATGTTAGCATCCACATAGCAAAACTCCCTAGATAACTAACTGGTCGAGCTTTTCGATTCTCATCTGATAATCATTCTGCAGCTGCCAAATAGAAATCAAGACCTTGTCAAGATCTTTGCGAATTACATCAAAAGTAGCCTCCTGTGTAACACCGCTCAGATTATGGTAGACAGCAGTCTGTTCGTGGGGTAGCGCTAGACTCCGCAACAATCAATTCAATCCGGTCACTCTCCTAGACCCACTTACCTATCTAGGTAGGGCTTAAACTCCTATAGGTAACTACTAGGCTTAAAGCGGTAATCAATCAATCCAATCTGAACCTTCTAGGACCCACTTAATTGATTGTTGCGGACTGTGGGTAGCGCATCATCGAACTGATCTTGCGGTATCGTTGGTTCGAGATAGTAATTTGGCTGTGGGAGATAGTTTGTAGGGAGGAATAGAGGTTGTTCAGAGAAGATATCCAAGTTGACATCGAAATCATTATGTTCGGTCGTGAGATGAGGTAAGAACGGGCTTGTCGTTGGGTCAAAGTTGAAAATTTCATCCCAAGCCTGATCTTGAGCAATTGGTTCGGAGGATTGTGTGTTTGCCATGATATGATGCGTAATCTGGTGTTGAATTCGATTGAGTTTACTGTGAGCTAGGAACGATATGTGGTGCATGCACTCTTAGATATAGATTTTCACTAGAAGGCGGAGCAAGTATTTAAGCGCTGAAAGAGATTTAATTAGACAAGGGTTAGCGAACTAGTGTTGCATATTTCCGAGCAGACACGAGGAACTGTGCCACCTTACGACTTAACCGCCGCGGCGTGCCAGAGGGCGAAGCACTCAAGCGACACTAACTCTAGAAACGGCAATAGGATGCCATAATTCGGCTCGCTCTCAATGAATCGATGCTATGATCATAAGCATAATAGACAAAGTATCAGAAGCAGATACTTACAGGCTTCTCAAGTTTAGCACTTGCGGGTACATTCGCGTTAAACATATTATCGAGAAAGTCGACAAGCAATTTATAGCCACTCCACTTCCCTCCATTGTCTAGACCAAATGTCTTATTAGATTCTCGCAGACGACGTATCTCTACCAGATCCCGTAGTTCTTTCTTTGGTGTACCGTTCATACATTGGAGCACTACTATCCCTAGACACTCTAGGTCGCGGTTAGGCGTGCTCTCAGTTGTCACCTGTATGCACTCTTCAAAGTTGGCTAATAAAGTCAGATGAGATACTCTTGAGGGCAATAATAATTTAGCTTTCTCACATAGCAGTGGTCTTCCCGTAGAACAAAACCTTATCGTAGCTGTTGAGATAAGATTGTGTATGATTCCGAATTTAGCTATGTGCTTTATGGCAAGAAATACCTATTCAACTTAGCTAAATGTTGCGGAGCACATATATCTAGTCATATTTACCGAGCTTGCGATCATACGAATATGCGGCTCTTCGAGGCGTGTGTGAACGTTGAGAACTTCTTCAAGTGTGTATCGAGAATACTCTAACTGGCAGAGATGTCAACAAGCAAGTCAAGCTGGCTTGATTCTTATCGATTGCAGATCACAGACCATTCTCTGGGACGTGCCACTGTGCACGAGCCTCTATATTGTCTGTGATCTGCAATCGATAAGAATCAAGCCAGCTTGACTTGCTTGTTGACATCTCTGCTAACTGGAGGAACAACGAGGACTCGGTTTCGAAAGCCTGTCTGATAGTTGAAACATGGGGATGGTCTGACAGTTTCTTCATCTTCTCGAGCTCGTCTCGACCGGCCTGAATGGTCATCTCCTTCACCAGAACCAACTGGCTCTTGTAAACGCAGATAGACCACACGTACTTCCCTTGCACTAAGTTTCCTTGTCGTACTAACGTTTTCCATGGGCTGTCGCGAATTTCTCGGTGAGTTGTAGAGATTGGCTGACTCTTTTCGAGAGCTTTTTGCAGTAGTGCTGCTTTTGTTGGTACTTGGGGCCTTGGGTGCCGTTGAAACGCTTCTTCAATAGCCTTCGTTGCCATGATTGTTGCTTCGTCCTTCAGCATCCATAGGCACTGTTATGCTACGGTGTAGCTCTGCCATACAAGAAAGCAGTTCCCCGTTAAACTGCAATATGTTCCGGAAAACGGGGACTGGGGACGGACTACCGAAAGTGGGTCTCCCGTCGTGGCTGTGTTCCCTAGTAACAGTTTTCGAGCAATACCTGCACTGGATTTTGGTAAAGCCTGCAACAGATGCACATAAAAGCACTTATCTGGCACTATCAATTGTCCATCAAACCCTTCATTCTAACCCCCACTACTACCGGTTCCACCATCCGAGCATACAACATGGACGCGGTAGAAGTTACTTAGCCTACACTACTTGCGGCTCGTCAGCAAAGTGATGCAGTTAATCAGCTTTCCAACAACGTGCACACACCTGCGCCACTTGAAGCCAGACTCCGCAACAATCAATCCAGATTGGTCAGATTGATTGATTTGATTGGTCATTTGGAGTTTTTACCAACTCAATCAACTCAATCTAAGCTTTTCAAAATAGCTAATCAAATCAACTTGCGAAGGTCAGATTGATTGATTTGATTAGTTAGATTGATTTATTATTAACGAGTTGTAAGGCGAGTAGTGTCGTATTAAGAGAAGGTTTTTGGTGTTGAAGATAGTTATCTTGGACCCCTATCTCGCTTAGCTTGTGATCCCTGTCGGCCGGGCAAGCCAGTCTCTATGCATTCACTTCTCACCAGCTAGCTCTCCTCTTATAGGACTAGCTCCTTCTGCTTAGGGGCTAGCCTCTTCTAGGCTTCACCCCGCACCTATATAGCTAGTCCTTCGCTGTTCTTAATACAACAACGATTTCGCTCACTCAGTTCCCTAATAATCCCTTACACACAACACTAGTTGCCTAGCTACCTATACAGACATTTTTCTTTAGTGTTTAGTATCGCCCACGATGGCCAAACGCTCTCGAGTTCCCACCAATACTGCTGCCGCCGCCGCCGCCGCCAAACGGGCGCGCCTATCAAGGCCCTCTGTCCTATCTCAGCGATCGCTGTCGCCTCAGGAAACCCTTGGCGCCGCCGTAAGCCAGGCCACAACGTTTGAGTCGCAATTTTTCGAGTCGCAAACAGAGGAGGAGGGTGCGGCTGAGGGCAGCCAGGCTGGTACAGCAGCAACAACAGAGGCTAGTGTTGATACAGAGCCTGATAATGGCGATAACTTTGACGGCATTAACTGGGATCGCCTCCCTCGGTTCATGAAGCCTCTTACAACTGGGCGGCGCGTCAAGAGTTGGATCTTTCAACATGGATATCGCGTTGTTGAGCTCTACGATCAGAATCGAGTGTGGTTTGTATGCAAATACTGCCACATCCACAAGGTCATTGACACTGGCGGCAGTGGAGTTTTTGACGTATCAAAGGCCACCTCCTCAGCTGCAGCTCATCTTGGCCTTCAGAAACGAGGCCATGGCTTTACAAAAGACGGCCTGAAGCCTCGAAGAACAGGGCAGCAACTCTCTCTACGACAGACGCTGGAGACTGGTGTTGCAGTCTCTCAAGAGGCTGCCAACGCGATGGGCAACTTCAACATCCAGCAGTTTCGTGAAGTTGCAGTGTTCTGCCTTCTTGATAACAACTTGCCAATGGAGCTACTTGCAAGGCCGTCCTTTCGCGAGATGATTAGCCTTGCAAACCCAGAGGCAGAGGCAGCTTTGTGGGTAAGTCCTCGCAGTGTAGCTACCTACGCAATGCGCCTCTTCCAATATATGCAGCCACAGATTGTCTGCGCTCTGTCAGAAGCTGCAAGCAAGATCCACATAAGCTTTGATGGTTGGACGACAAAGGGTGGCAAGCGTGGATTCTTTGGAGTCGTTGCACACTTTGCTAACGCCTCTGGAGTGATACAAGATCTCCCCATCGCCCTCCCACATCTCGCAGGCTCTCATACTGGTGATGCTATCGCTGATACAATTAAAAAGACGCTCCAAGAATACAGTATTGGGAGTGATAAACTCGGCTACTTCGTCCTCGACAATGCTGCAAACAACGATACTGCAGTCTCCTCGCTCGCCCACGCGTACGACTTCAACGCTGCTCACCGACGCCTCCGCTGCGGCCCTCACACGCTTAACCTTATTGGCCAGGCAATTATCTTTGGCAGCAATCAAGAGGCGTACAACAACAACAACGACGAGCAGCTCCAAACAGAGGAGGTGTACATGCAGGAGTGGCGTCAAGAAGGGCCCTTAGGTGTACTTATCGACGTTATCAACCATATAAAAACGCCTCAACAACACGAAATTTTCCGAAGCTTCCAAACCGCCGCCAACGCCGAGTTGCCAGCTAGAGAGCGCCTCCACGTACTTGAGCCTGTGAAGCCTGTTGTTACACGCTGGAACTCTTACTACGCTGCCTTCAAACGCGCAACTCAACTCCAGGCAGCATACAACTCTTACGCTGAGCACTACATTAACGCACTCTCCCTTGAAGATCGCCGCGCTTGTCAACGTGGCAATAAACTCCCTGAAGCACCTAGTTGGATGAGATCAACAGGACTTACAGCTGCTGATTGGGCGGTGATAACAGAGTATCAGGACTGCCTAGAGCCGCTTAAGCTTGCTACGGAGAAGCTTGAGGGTCGCGGAAAGGCAGGCAAATACGGCGCTATATATGAGACTATTCCTGTATTTGAATACGTACTTGGCGCGCTCGAAGCCCGTACGCGCTCGTACGAGCAAGTTGACTTCAACCCACCTGATGCGCCTGAAGATCACCTCTTTGTTAACCTCCGCGCCGCCTGGAGTAAGGCCAACGATTACTACAACAAGCTCGATCGATCGCCAGCATACTACGCTGCTACCTGCCTCCATCCATACTACAAATACTACTGCGAGAACAGCTGGGTGGATAAGCCAGAATGGCTAACATCAGCCAACGCTGGCTTCCTGCAGCTCTGGCAGTCGTATAAGCCTCAACGTACACGTCCTCTATCTCAAACAACTGCAAAACCAAGGCATAGAGGAATAGATGATGTGATTGGCGCCCTCGTACGGCGCAACAAGGCTCAGGTAGAGGCTGCCCACGACGATGAGTACGAGCGCTGGAGAACTCAAGAGCCAGAGTGGACAAGCGAACAGTATCTTAGCGATGGCCACCCAGTCAAGTACTGGATTCAATTACGCTCAAAATACCCGTGTTTGAGCCAGTTTGCGATTGATATACTCACGATACCAGCATCTAGTTGCGACTGCGAGAGGCTCTTTAGCGAGCTTGGCGATTTACTTGAGCCGCGCCGGCGAGCTCTTGGCAGCGAGTTACTTGCTGCCCTTCAGCTTGTACGTTCGTGGAGACGAGCTGGCTTTGACGGCTTGTACAACAACGGTGATGATGAAGATAAGTGGAGTGACGTCAAAGATGAGGAGATTGTACAACAGTACGATATAGAAGGCTGGAGTACAACACCATAACCCCCTGTATACTACTTCTTAGCATCAATCAGCCAATCAACCAATCAATCGCAATCAATCTGCTCAAAAACCCTAACAATCAATCCGCAATCAATCAGCAGCGTCGCCGCAAGCTAATCAAACCAATCGACAACCTTAAGATTGATTGATTTGATTGTTGCGGAGTCTGATGATATCTCTGTTAAGAAGCCGCTACAGCAATGGGCTATTGAATCGGGGTGTTGCGAGAGGGGAGTTCTTATTCAGTACAGAAGGATAGCACAAGTATTAGCAGAACTGCACACAATATGCACGTATGTGGAGATGTTGAGGCAGTCTAAATGCCTGCAGCATTGAACAAACAAGGTATACCTTGACGCGACAAGCGGTAAACAGGGATTTCAAGCCGTCAGGGTCAATAAATTGCTACTGATTACTTGTTCGGCGACTGTAGTACAGGCCACTTGAAGCAGGTCGACGAACTTAGGGTAACCCCCCTGCTCGAAAGTGCTTTGTGCTGACGGCATGCGCGTTGGTCCCACGGGAGAGGCCTGCATACGCGAATTCTTCGGATTTGGACGAAGCCATCGAGCCCGTATGCTGAGCCAGCTTAGAGTCGGATGCTTCAATGCCAAACAATTCTAGACCTCCCATGTTGATTCGCACTGGGGTATCGGCGAGTAGTGTTATAGGATGCCAAGCAGTGATATTCTTTTCCAGTGACTAGCTACTAAGATTCGCATCGAGCTACATGAAACAGGTGCTCTTTGGCGGATTATAGTGTTGTCTCTATCGTAGACTCCGCAACAATCAATTCAATCCGGTCACTCTCCTAGACCCACTTACCTATCTAGGTAGGGCTTAAACTCCTATAGGTAACTACTAGGCTTAAAGCGGTAATCAATCAATCCAATCTGAACCTTCTAGGACCCACTTAATTGATTGTTGCGGACTGTGCTCTATCGATGGTTTCTAGCTACCAAACCCCTAGTCTCTTCATTGGAGCCGAACACAACTCACCACTCGAGGAGCATCACATTGCGAGATTATTTCTCTTGTAAGTAATTGCTGACTATATAAGGCAGACTAATATATGCATGATAAATCTGGAGAGCTACGGTTTGAGTGATCATCTCTGGTATTCGACCACTCTAATACTACCCAAAAGCCATTCCCGGATGATGTCCTTCAGCAATCCCTCACCCTAGAGTGGGGAGAGGCTGTGTGGAAATTTACAGGGTAAGTTATGTTGCCTTGGACGGTGCAACTCTTCATAAGAGGCCAAATCGGACGACCGGACAGTAGAGAATACAACGCGATGTCTATACGAGCTCGTTGACCTTTTGCAGTTTCTGAAGCCTTCAGCTCTTGACATACAGCACCATGTTTTGTAGTACCATGTCCTTATCTCAGAGAATTTCTTCTGAATTGTAAGACCGCTGGATTACTGAAACTTGAGATGATTTCTTCAAAGACTACTTACACCAGTCATTATACTAGCTAGTTCCAACAAAGCGACTGAATCTCCTTTTTGCTTAAGCATACCCAATATCTTGAGATCCCGAGTCAAGAGCGGAGACTTTGGCCAAAACCCGGATAACCGATCGATCGTGCGGACGCGAAGTGCATTCAGACTCGTCTCTGTGAGCTCCGTCTGAGCGGATAACAACGGGTAGATCGCAGAGAAATGAACAGCGTGAAGGATAAGCACATTCTCAAATTCTCTGGGCAGAGTTAGTCTAAGAGGCAGCACGTAAGCGGAGGAGTAACTTACGCATGGAGTGTCTTCACAGGATTACTTAACACTATTGGAATTTTGTTGGTGCTTCGATATTCCTCGTACGCACCGTCAGAAACCGCACCTATACGGTCAAAGGCGATGATACTTGAGAGAGCACCATGTATCCAACTCTCGACGACTCCGATAAGCCCTCGCTGACCTGCAGATAGCTTGTTCAATGTCACAGCGAAACGCTCGCACTTTCGTATAATTTCCAGGTACGGCCGCAACAGCTTGGCTATGCCGTCATAAAACTCTGCTTGCAACGAAGCCATGAGAGGGTCGATTGACGGGGGCTTTCTGTCTTCCCAGGCTAAGCTTGAGTGAAGCCCTGATCTCCAGATTTTCAAATATCCAAGTTGACTGTTCGCGACGTTCGTAAGGTACATCAGGTCTTCTTCATCCATTGTCGTATTTTCAGCAAAACCCGTGGGCGTAAGCTTTTGCACCACCTCTAGTAGTGTCTGGAGCAATGCCCTATTTGCGCAAAACATCTCAGGACCTTCTTCCGGGCTCTCTACTGGTAATATATTGCTCCCGGAGATGGGAATAAGGTCTGACGAGACGATGTTGAGAAGAGCGTCGATACCACTACAAAGATTGTCAGATAAACAAACAGGTTTACTTATAGCAACTCACCGTTCCAGCTCTCGACATATCCAGGATCCCCTCTTTGTTTCCTCTGAGATGGGGTTGTTCTGACTTCGAACGGTCGAGACATCGTTAGGAACGCTTCTGCTACGTACGGTTAGCCTAAAATACTACAGAATGATGGATTGTCTTACTAGTAGCCATGCTGCTTGTATAAGCCGTAAGCACAACTAATATGCAACCAACTCTTTTGAAGGTTTCCGATTTGGTTGGTGTATAGTGCAGCCAAAGTCATGGCTTGTGCAAGGGAGGTACTGTATTTCTCACGCTTGTGCGCGAGAATATCTTGGGCACGAAAGTAATATGCCATGCCTGGAATGATGCTAGAAGGCTTTGGACTGTCGCTGAATGATTTGCAACTGCCAAGTGCGAAAAAGAGGAGGACTATGGCATTATGCAGAGAAGGTATAATCGAATCTCTGCGTGCCGTTGCGGTATCGCTGTACTCTTTGATGAATGTTTCGCACATCTCCCGAGGTTTATCGAAGATCGGGTGTAGGACATGCACATTTCCCATGTATGAATCGGATAGCTCGCACAGTTTTTGAGACGAGAAGAATTCTGGACAATTATCTTGGCTGATTGCAAGCGACTTGCAATGCAACGGGCCAGTGGAACGAGGTTCGTTGGGAGGGTTCAGCAGTGCAGTGAGAGCGCGCACTTCTTTAAGAGTGGTTTCTGTGGTCTTGGATATAAGCCTCAAGCTTTCATCATTTCTAAAAGCGTTAATGACAACCCATGAGTTCGCTGATCGCTACGTACGTTTTGGTTTTGATCTTCACATACACGCAGCTTTGGCCAGTCTCCTTACATGCCTGGCATGGATCTAGTCCGTTGCATCTCTGCTTGCGATCCCGACATTGCTTACAAGCCTGCAGAACTCGAGGTGTCCGTGGTTTGTTTGCTTCCTCGTCGGATGGACGTAGGCGGTCAGGTAGCGCGTTGGGATTAAGTGTAGGGTCCATCTGTCGAAGACCAGGTGGTTACGATAGAGTCAAACGATGAAAGCCCTGAAGTATGACCTTATGATGAGCGTCAAATCAAGGTCCAGACAGCGATATGTTCAAGTATGAGCAAAGACATAAGATACCAATAGCGCTATCTTAAGAGCAGGTTGTGGCATAGAGCGGGGCTTCGTCGGGGTGACCAAGATGATTGAAATTCGGGATTAGCGAAGGCAGTATTGATCAAGGCATATGGTTTAGTGGGCACGAAGAGATTACTGCATCACTAGCCAAGCCATTCACTAAAGCCCGCAGTTGGCGTGCAGTTACACAACCAGGGGTAACCCTCCTTATGCAGCAACCTTGTACAACAATCACATAATGATAACCACCTGACAAATGCAATCGCGGCTGAATTTGAGTTTATTACCACTACTAGCAAGGCTGTGTCATTGCTACTAGGTGCTGAGAGCTTATGGTCACGATGCGTTCTTAAAGAAAGAAGCTACTCGGTACATTAGAATTCGAGCCATTAGCTCTGGCATGATCATACACCAGGAGAACTTGTGCTACAGAGGAACATGCGACCATGTCTGTTCATAGGTCGTCACATTTTCATCTCTTTTCCTCAGATGCTGAAATTAGAACCTCTTCATCCCAAAAACTACAAGCCCAGTGGTAAAGAAACAAAGAAAAAGGTACAATAGCCATCTTCCGTCAGGATATGAAAAAAATCCCCAAACCATCAACATTGTACTGATGAACAAAGCAAATCGACAGGTGTTGTTGTTTGGGTTGTGGAAGTAGCAGAAAACCATAGTGCTGAAGTAAAGACTTGATATCGCGGCGATCGAATCATGGTCTATCACAGACGCTTGTCAGAAACATACTTGACATCTCAAGAGAGCTTACCTATCATGGATATCTTCATATCGGTGACTACCGTGAGGTGTATGGTTTAAGCGCAGGTGTGGTTAGAGGTTAAGAGAGAGGAAGGAGTTGGCGGAGACTCAGAAAGTGTCGAAACCTGTGATAGGAGATAGGTGGTGAAGATGGTTTGGCAGACATCAAGACATGCCATTCCTAACAGCGCTTTATAGTCTTGTTCCGCCAATACCTACCTAGGAAGGAGCTGAAGTCCCGTACCCGATCACCCGTACGAAAACCCAACAATGCAGTGATCGGCTACCTAGAATGAGCTCTTTCGAACAATGGACCAGCGTCTAAACAGGGATTGTGCAGAGAGATCAGTTCGTCCCCGAAAGACACCTTGCGGCACGACTACCCGCATTTGTGCGCATTTGAACCTTGCAAAGCTCACGGATTCCTGCATATACATGCATTAATCGCTCTTTATGGAGGGATCGATGGGGGTTGTCGGTGTAAAAGTATGGACAATATCACCGTGCATACAAATAACATGGATATAACGCCTGCGTTAGAGAGCGGCACAATGGTAGAATATTATTAATAGCAATAGAAAAACTGCCGCTTTGTCCCATGCAAAAGAAATATTTCTATCTTGCTCCAGCAATCGCATCATGCGGGAAACATTTAGATTTCGCGGGCAGCAAACGTATCTCCAGGTAGCAGACAGATAAACAACTGTACTAACTTTATTTACAAACACTATGATGAGAACCCGTTTAGAAACTCCTCTAGTGCAACTGAAGCATTGTTTAGTTTGTGAAATTCTGCCAGCCTGTACAATTGCGGCCATTGCTTGGTCATCCCCTGCTCCTCCAATTGGACAAATGCGTCAACATACCCGTCAGCCTTGCAGCTAAGGATGCTGAGCACTCTCAGTTTCTCCGTAACATTTGCATCTGAAGTAGTGGGCGTTGCTGCGTCTTGCTTTGGATTTGCGGGGTTTCTTGATCCCTCATCTTGCCTCGTAGCCGTATAGCCGCATCTTCCTTTGTGGTCTTTCTCGACGTGCCAGTCGATCAGGGCTGGAGCAGTGCGGGCCTCTTTACAGCCTTTATGGTAGCAATAATACGTCGGGCTCGAGCCTATATAATGTCAACTCCTTCATACAAGCACAGCGGACAAGTAAAGCTACGTACAAGATACATCAGATGTGCTGCTGTCGATGACAGATTCTTTTGTACTCCCGACTGTGGACCCAGAGGCGCCACAATATCCAAGGCTGGATTGGTCCGACAGATTAGGTCTGGTCTCAAGTGTATCTTGACTGGATTTCTTCCAACCGATGCATTCCCAAAACCATCCAAAGCAACCGTTCTCGTCTCCTGTTTCTTGTGTCCACGATGCAATACCCTGTGTCTATATTGGTGTTAGATCGATGCGTAACAGAGGTGGCGCCACATACTATCGCCTTGCAGGTGGGAGATAGAGCCATGGTAAGGAACGGGACGTGCAGGAAGGCAACCGGTGAAGGACGCAAGAGCGGTGAGACGATGAATGCAGGACGTCTCAGCCTCGCAGGAAGGATGCATGATATATGAGTATCTTCCAACTGGCGCCAGGTCATCCTGCTAGCAAAGCTTTAGACACAAAGACGCCACTGGTGTCTAGGAGGTGGCTCGAGTCATGCCCTTGGACAAACGATATGCACGCGAACGTAGGCATGAGGCAACCCTCACGGCACGCCTCCGTTATTCCGAATGGGCTTCAAGCGCCATCAGTCTAAGCTAGAGAGATCCTACCCGTGCACAAGTGGATCGCATTATGGGGACACTTTGTTGACAGACCGCGTCCCGAGATTGGCACCGTATACCTAGTGAGAGTGGGCCTGGATTCATTGGACACTACGTCGATCAAATCCACGTTGGGTGGTACCGCAGATCGGGTATGGTGACGGAGCGATCAGCACATGTGGGAAGGTCGCTCAGTCAGGCAGTTGATGCAGCAGAAGGGAGGTTACGCGGCCCGAGCCTCTAGGAACAACGTTGTGAACACTCGTGCGGTGGGTAGAGGAGACTCTGTGCATTTGATAAGGTCGAAGTCAAGTGCAAGTAGCAGCAGTCTATTGAACACTGCATAGACAGGACGCTACGTGAACTTGTCTCATAAAATAGAAGCGACGGCAACAACATGCATTATCTTATGCTCTAATAAGGATATCCAGAAGGATACACTTGTTCCAAACTTCCATTCCAAAACGACAGTGACATAGGGTTAATCCAGTCTTGCCGCACCTCTGGAAACATGCCATTCCCGCACTGCGCATCCGCCGAAGATTCGACCCCCAAGCTGAGATCCATCCATAGATTTGCCATTTGGTTATGTGAGCCATGAGAGCGACGCGAGTGCCCACAACCACATAAAACGATAGGTACCAACAAAAGACCGATGAAAAAGGATAAGTCTCCTATTGGTAAAGACGCCAACGGGGGTTAATGTTAGGGCAGAACTTAGGGAAAACGTGCAGGAAGGCAACTGGTGAGGGGTTGAAACAGCGGTAGGGCAAGAATTAAGGGATGTCACATCTGAGTCTTGTTGAAAGTGCATGATATACCATGGATATCAACTCTGCTAGCTTCAAAAAAGGAAGGTCTCGGTTACGCAAATAATGATATATAGCAATCAATAGCGAGGGCAAACGCGCGGCACCTATCTCCCTTACCGATAGCGACGTTAGAGCCACTGTGATCTGAGGCGCCAGCGGCCCGCATATCTAACGTCCAAGCGTGCTATGTGATATGCCATGACAAGGATCTGTGAGGACTGGGTGGTGGCGCGCTAACACTAGCGTGTTGGTGGACGGCCAAGACAATTTCGGACATGATGTCCAAAATTTTCTTGGCACTAACAGCGTGTGACACCTATACTACGACAAGTCCAATCCGTCTTCCTTGCTTTGCTGACTCAAAATGAACGTTTCTGGTATACCAGATGTTGCGGAAATCGAGTGTACCGTCAGCGCTGGCCCGGGAATTCAGTGCAGCGCATCTCGAAGTGGTTTCATCACGATACAGACGAAGACCGAATCGATCACCATCTTACTGCAGCAAATCATCAACAAGAAGAGAGTTACGGCCAAGCCTGTTGGCCAACAGCCTGTTCAATCAGTGGCATCTTCTTCTGGAAGCAATACTAGTCAAGTAAAATTTTGGTTTGCAGGAAACAACGGCCCAGAAGATATGCGACACGACGAGGGCAACGACGGATCAGAAGATCTTCTCAGCAGCAATGACAGGAGAGCACCAAGATCGGTAGGGGAAGTTGCCAAAAAATCAAACAATGGCACAGATAATGAATTTAGGGGGAAGAGTCCTGCCTGTCTTGGTGATGATGACAAGGAAGACGATATCGATGCGAGCAACAGCGATGGTTTCAATAGAAACTCCAGGCAAAAGAAGCCAGAACCCCCAATTTCAGACGAAGAATTGACGGCAATTTGTCGGAAACTCGCGTCGAAGACCTTGAAGAAATGGAAGTTAAAGCAACAACAAGAGAAGAAGAGTTTAGAAGCATTTCTTTCCGATTGGCCCAATTTTTTCGGCTACACTAGACATGCATCCCTTGAACAATGGTCGTACCGAGCTCTCGACACTTCAGAAAAATTTGGGGGCCTCCAGCAACCTTTCCACAAAGTGAGCCTTGCTAACTGGTGGAATGGATGCTTAAAACGGAGAACTTCGGAAAACACTACCACCCGTGTTAAGGCACTGATGGTTTCAGCCTTAGAGCCAGGCTTTGAAAAGCTTGAATCCAAGGAGAAGAATTCAAAGCGAAAACAGATCGACAGATATGTACTCCAGGGCGAAGTTATCACCCTAATGCTCACCCGAGCCCCTGGTTTAGTTATCACGGTCTCTGACCTTATTACAACACCCGAGTATGCGCCCTAGTCTTCATTTGTTCTTCAACACTAACGTCATCAGGTACCGTACTTTGTGGAGCAATAGACATCGGTCTCCTGTTTCTGGGCTCAATTGGATAAATGAGAAATTGATCCAAGACTCAGAGCTATACTCGGAGACAGTACAGAGTATCTTCAGTCTCATGCATCAGCATTTTAGTGGGTCAATCCCTGGTCTTGTAATGCTCGGGCTATCACTCATTTTCGTAGCGTTCATCCAACATCTGATCCCGGACCGAAAAGCTAGTTTTACTCTTTCACGGTCGCCAATAGAACCCGAATCTGGAACGAATGTCGCATCATCCTGCCATCAAGTGACGCCTAGCTCAAAAGAAATCATACCCTCCTACCAAATCTCTCTATGCGATCAACAGTCGTTCGTCAAGTCTATCGGACCAAGTGCAAACGCCACCAAACGAAGGAAGACAAGACATGCCACACCCCAGGCTCAAGCGCAACTATACATGATTCAAAACGATAATCAGGATACCTCTGCACCCAGTTTGGAGGCTTCCCTTATCAATATTCATGGAGAAAACCAAGCCCTCGATGTTACAATTGCCGCAAACGTTCTTCAGTCACTCCAACATGGCAACCAAGGCTATACGGGGGTTGCTGCAGCCGAGTTGCCGCTTGGAGATCAACAGCAACCCTTACCGCCCGCCTCGGGTATCTTAGAGCAATGCAGTGTGACAGAGTATGGTAGTTAGACTCCGCAACAATCAATTCAATCCGGTCACTCTCCTAGACCCACTTACCTATCTAGGTAGGGCTTAAACTCCTATAGGTAACTACTAGGCTTAAAGCGGTAATCAATCAATCCAATCTGAACCTTCTAGGACCCACTTAATTGATTGTTGCGGACTGTGATGGTAGTGCCCTTGAGGAAGCAAGCAATGCGTCAACAGAAGACCGCCAGGTTTCGTGTGATGGCAGCGCAGGATCCGTTATGCAATCATGCCATCTCTCAACGAGTGATCTCGATCGCTCGGAGCCTGACCAACAGTACTTTCCTGGTCATCTAGGTGTTTTTCTAGACGGACAGGCGGACGGCTTTACTTCAGATGGACTAGCTCTGGTCAACCGAATTTCGGGTCTTGATGAGCTCGAATCTCAGCAATTGCCTGTCGCGGATGGATTATTTTTGAGCAACTTCATGCAAGAATATCGAGATATCATGTAATTAAAGACATCGATGATCATCAAATTTATGAGCTATGTACGGCGTGGTTTCTTATGTTAATGCTCATACTTGAATGGCAGCACATAGAAATCAACAAATTCTGACACCGAGAAGGAGACATTCGCAAGCACTAGGTGTATTCCCTTCTCTAGCAGCCCCGCTACCTTTTTCGCCTTGTTCTCCCAAATATAGATGGTGGCCTGCTGGGGGGTCTTGGGATCAGAAATAGCAGGTACAATAGCGAATATCTCGTCCGGTTTGGTGGTGATGCATCCAGATATGTTACGCATGATCTCTGGTTGCCTAGACGGACGGCTAAGTTGCTTTCCTACGGCATTGCTGATGTCTTTCAACTATGTATCATTAGCAATGCCATTGAATTTTCCACTAATGCATACCCTTGACTGGAGAATCTCATTAGTTACAGCTCTATGGGTTTCGTGATATTTGTAACGAAGGACAGCAAAGTTCGCAGTATTGAGCGTTGTGTGGTCCCCAAGAATCACCTCCGCAACCCGTTCGTCGAGTTTTGAGTGGGAAGGCAAGTAAATGTGTGATGACATGATGAGAAACAGGTGGTCTTAGATTTATTAATGCAAAGTTGATGTATTTATATGACACGTTGAAGCCTTGTTAACATTAGGCCGAACACGCTGGCGGACTGGACTTGGTTCACTAGCGTCATGCCACGTGCCGACGCCACCGAATGCCAAGACCCAAGCCGAAAACTCCGTAAGACGCGCCAGCTAAGACTGTCGGCGGCTTCCGCCTGATCCTGAAGTGACACCGTTCGTGCTCCTCTGCTGCTCATCGTCGGTATTAGGTGACATAAAATCGCTCAAGTAAGTTGGGCTGTTTGCAGCACGAGCACCATTGTCCTCGGTACGACCATCGCAGCCATGATTGGGCCCGTTACCAGCCATACCACTTGCGGTCTGTTCGGCGTTGTGATTGGGAGGATTAGAAGCTGAGGACTCCGTGTTGCTGTCAGAGTGAGGCATGGTGATTGAGGTGGTAACTCCTATAACCCAGAAGAAGTTCGTTACGTCAGAATTTTTTTCTCGTGAAAGGCAGAGCTACTTTCATCAGTGGAGAAGGAAATGTGATTGAATCGGCCTACCTTTAGCGATTATGGTTATCCTTGCACACTTGCAGATGACTATACAACGAGCGAGCCGATCTTGGACTGCCAGGCTGGACAGAGGGATGGATGAGGTTCAAAGATCGCTGCACTCGGGTATCTCCCCTTGCTAACGCGGGATATCGGAGACGCCCCTAAGGATGAGAGGCTCGTTAGCATGCACTTCTATTGACCCTTTCGAAATCGAGAATGCATTTGGAGAAGAAGGCTGACCTACAACAAATACCACGAGAACACGAGACACAGGGGGTATCAGCGGACGTTTTAGTGCTACCAAAAGAGACGGCAAAGCAGAGGATGTCGAAGGTATTGAAGGTTATGAAGAAGAAACACGCTGAGCAAACAGAACGTGTTAAACAAGACGAGGGATGATGGCTCTGAGACGTTGAAGAAACAGAGATTTAATGAGGTCCTTTATACTGATACTTACGATCCTACACACGCTTAATTCTCCTTCTATCGCCTACAACCACGCCTCCTTTCCACGTTATTACGAACAGCCATTTACAGAAGCGGCAAGCGAGCGCCATATCCTTGGATCACACCAAGACCCGCGTTCTCTACCATCGCATCTTCAAATCTACATATGCTTGCAAGAAAGAGGGGGCTTGGAGACTGAATCGGGCCTCGGCGTGAACTAAGGCCGCGAACATGCCAGAATACATTGGCTATTAGTGCATTAGTCTACTCCTCAGAATGCACGTTCCTAATCGCTTCTGACGATTGTTGTTAGAGTATGTCTCGGGATGTGTGTACAGCTTAGAGACATAATGAGGCAGGAATGCAAGAGTGAAAGAGACATGTGATATTTTGTTTCTGCATTAGTATATTTCGTTCTCAATGGCATCAACGACACTTACATACTGGGCAGCTCTCATTTCTGAGGGAATGTACTGTTAGTGCTGCTACTGATAGTACACGATGGTGGCAGTATGCAAGTAAGAGCGAAGAGAAGCAGAGCGAAGAGAAGCAGAGCGAAGAGAAGCAGAGCGAAGAGAAGCAGAGCGAAGAGAAGCAGAGCGAAGAGACGCAGAGCAGATTACCGTGCGTGACGGCCCAACAACCCCGACGGCCCAACGACCCACCCACCACAACCAGACCTTAACTTCAACACGCGATAACTCCACCAATATGACTGCTCGTAGGGCTGCACAATAACTTCAACGAGCTCTTAACCACCCCCCAAAAGGGTAAGAAAGGCAGTCTTGAAGCTTATATAAGGCCTACTATAGAAGGATAGAGTTGTGGGTAAATCGTGGTGGCCGTGATCAGTCATCTGATCGCTCAACAGGCCTACCACCTGCGCGATCGCGACGTGGCCGTGATATCAAGCTACCAGCCAAATACAAGTAGATAGATATTATAATACTGCGTCTAGATCACTACTCGTAGAAATCTTAAAAAACTAGCTATTGTGTGTGTCTCTACAGCCTCAATTTTAGTTGCTGTTTTGGTGTTCAGGTGGATCGTTGGGCCGTCGGGGTCGTTGGGCCGTCACACACGGTAAGCGGCTTGGTGCCGAGGGGCAAAATCAAATGACTCGCCCGCTCATTCCCAGGTCATGCATCTAGGTGCTGCACGTGATCTTACGCATTCGGAAGGTGGGGCTGTCATAGCGTAGAGGGGCTGTCGCCGCCTGAGAAACTCTCATATGATCTGTTAGGCACCAACACAAATGCGTATATGCACATATGTTCTCTTACATAGCTGCCCATCAATCTATACAGCTACCCCCAGCGTGGTCTTGTAACCGTTGTATGAGGTAAGTGATCCTGATTGTACTTTAGACTATGCTGACCTCTTATTGCGCATCTCATAGCTATCGTTTCTGACGGATTGGATCCCCACCGCTCGAACCTTCGAAACATCTGCTTCGTTCCTTCTTGTGTCTACCAGAAGACCTACTTTGTCGCGGACTGTACGACGATCATCCTACAATTTAGCCGGTTCTCGCTTTGACACACGCTAGAAACATCCGTCCACTGAAGCATTGGGCGTTGGAAGATCTCAGAATCAAGCAGATTGTGTGATTCGCACCTTTTCGCTAATGCCCGAGGTAGGGTCAACTTCTCAGCGCGCTTCCCAACGTCTACCTAATGGACTTTTCGCTAGAAAGACCAAACCACAAACGGAGATTACGAATATATCCACTATCATACATTCGAAGCAGTCGATCATGACAGATCTATGTCTTGGGAAGCTGGTGATGGCATGGTACATGTTGGTGTGAAGGTCATGAAACCGCAGAAGACCGATATAGATGCACGCGACGTTACTCTTCTTGAAGGGCAAAGTGTGATCGTTTACGAGATGAAGTTCAGATTGGCCAAAAAGGCTGCTACTTAGGAAACGCTCTCGACCATATTTCAGTACCCTTTTCGAAACTGATCAATATTGCCAGTCTGCTATCGTGATCAAGGTCCTTGCCATTAGGAAATGAGATCCTAGCGGCGCTGGTGCGTGATATGCTCTTGTCCTCTTCCGACTTCCTAAATCTGCTTTCTAGCATCGCCCTATACAGGTAGTTCCCTAGTATGATCTTCCAATCTTCGATTGACCTCATGTCTTTTACTTGTTGTGCAATTGATTCCCCGACTGATAAATGAAGCCAGATCTCCAACCCAAAGTCCTCATGTTGTTCTGATGGAGGTAGCAAGCGCACGGTATCAGTGAGCCTTAGACCCTTCTGTTCTTCTGCTTTTCTCATGCAACTTTCTTGTATGCCGTTTGAAAGATAGGCTCCAAGATAACTGCCAAGCTGGATCAGGTCAGACCACTGTACTGTTCTAGTGAAGGCATCCCAAGGGTTAACCTCAGAACGGCTTAACAGCCTCAGCAGACGGGTATGAGCGGCAGCAGAGGTAAGCCAATCTTCTCGATCCTGCGGATTTGGAATGCTCTGGGCCGCAAGCGTGAATGCTTTCTCTACCGAACTTTAGTTTTAGAACAAGACAAGAAAGATAAACGTACCAAGTGCATCTGCCGGGTGTTGTTCGGTAGTAGCCGCTTCGACCGGAAGATTTTGACGAACACTGGTTTCACTCGGAGGATATCCCACAATCAATACACTGGCGGCTTTAGTAAGTGATGAAGGATGCGAGGCCGTAGTCCACCATTCGTTAAGTTTGTGTATGAGGCTGCTTTCTTGACTCAGTGCTGCCATCTTCGCGAGGGACTTTGCTACTAAGACAACTAATAGCAGTACTTCAGGGCCTAGCTCCTTACGAATCTCTATGGCAAGTTTACGCGCACGAGTTCGGATGCTCCGGCTCGCAGAAGACCTGCTGCTCAAGGACGATGCATCTTCCTGTAGAAGGTTGTTGAATCGTTTAATTATATCGGTCGGAGGCTTCCAGTGCGTAAGTCTTTCGAAGGTGAGTCTCGTGTTCTCTACTTCTGTGTATAACCAATCGTTTTCCGACATTCCGAGAGCGTTAAATCATAAATAAAAGCGAAGAGGAGAGCAAAGAGGAGAGCGAAGAGGAGGAGAGCGAAGAGGAGGAGAGCGAAGAGGAGGAGAGCGAAGAGGAGGAGAGCGAAGAGGAGGAGAGCGAAGAGGAGGAGAGCGAAGAGGAGGAGAGCGAAGAGGAGGAGAGCGAAGAGGAGGAGAGCGAAGAGGAGGAGAGCGAAGAGAAAGGAAGAGAAGCGAAACGCACAGAAGGAGCCGATTCGTGGGACCAGTGCTGATAGGCCCTGGTCCTTTGGAGCGATGCGGGGCAAGCCACACCCTCATGTTTTCTTCTTCGCGCGTCGCAATCCTTTCCAGCTCGAGCGGATGGTATCGCGGAACAACACACCGTGCCGAGGCATGATTAACCCGATCCATTCCTAGCCCTTCTCAAGTGCGTAACGCCGCTTTGAAGGAGCGCTCATGCATGCCAACGAAAGACAACCAAGGCATAGGTCGGTCAACCAACCAATATCTACACCCTTGCTCACAAGCAATATATCCGCTGAAAATGATGCTAATCCATGGGCTGGACGAGGATTCGTTACGACCGGATTGAGCACATAGCTTATGCATAATGTAGCTACGAGATCCATTCCGTTCTATTCTATTCCAATACTTACCCTAGGCCGGACGTGCGTATGCTCATATTTACGTTACCTAGCTACGGTTAGTCAGTACAATCCAAGTAAGAAATATATATATGAGAGAATAGTCCCTTGAGCTGAGTATCTTTCTTCCCCAGGTTCCACTCAATACGACTTCACATCGATTTGTTCTACAAGTCCGCTCTGATTCTATCAACAAACTAGCGAGGATGTCAGAGTCGTTAGTAAATCTTACAATGCGTCTAGAAACATTCTAATCATGCATAGGGCCGCCACCTGGAAACATACTCTTACGCAATGGATGGATGCTCAGAATTCCCAAACTGAGTACTTCTTTGTTACCCACGAGTCAACTGAGGGAAGTGCCAGGTACTGGCTCTTTTATATCGAACGCCAGACCTGGGACAATGATGCACGCGCATGGGGTCCACGTCGAAAATGTTTGGTGGTATCCATCAGACCTCAAGCTTCTACTATGGACTGGCTCGATTTCTCAGAGCGCGCTGCACAAGATGCTTCCAACATCGCTCGCAACACTCCAAACGTATCGTACTTGGTCGGAGATGTAGCCCACTTCCACGGTTATAAAGTGGTTATCGAGCAGCGCCAGCTCGCATTCGAAAAACTCACTGGTTATCAGAACATTCCTTCTGGCGCAAATTTGGGCCAGTACCTGAAGGCTTTGGCACACCACAATGATGAGTACATGAAAACCTGTGGAGACTAAAAATGCGGCTTCTGCGGAGGGCAACTGGACATTCTCACACACCTGTTGCCAGCCCGACTTACTCTACCCTTGTCTACTCCAAGTCACACATGTATATATAGCTCCCCTCCTTTATAGCTATTAAATCAACTCGGCCCTTTATAACCGCCTTCTACTACATGTAACAACAACTCTACACACCAATCATTGCCTGTTCGTATCTCTACTGAACAACACCAATTTGAATACAATCTTGTCCCATGTTTCCCCACCATACTCCTCGAACGCCCTGATAAGTTTCCTCTCTTTTCACCGTGTACTCATTTGGCAGAGCAGGCATGAAACCAAAGCAAGTATAAATCTAGCCTTGTTACTAAAGGTCTTAGAAGCAAAGGTATCTGCTTACCTGCAAAAAGACAATTCCTTGGAAAGGAAGTGCTGTCATTTCAAGGTACATTAACCTTACTGTACGCTCTAAGCTCAGATCGATCTTATAGCACTGCTTCTGTGCCTCAGTGTTAGGCTGTGGCTGGGTGTAGATACCACAAAAGTTTGAGATATAGCGGGCAACAACCACGTATACAGATTGACAAGTGGAGATATCAGTGAACGTAGGTTCAAAGTATCCTTCGAGTTGGAGATAGCGAGTCCTCTCAGATTGCAGAGATTGCGAAGTCCAAAATCCAGTGTTCCACGGTAGCAGCGGACGTGGATGGGGACTATCGTAGTTCAGAACGTCTACCATGCGCCACTTTAGTGGCTAGTAGTAAAGTTAGGTTAAACATCTTAGTATACAAGAGACGGGAGATACTTACATCAGATACAACCATTATAGCTGTGAATGCATCTTTTGATCTGTGTACAAATATCCTCTGTACGTCGCTAGTTTCCCTGATCCATCTTGGTCTCCCGTGTATGTCCGCAGCAAAGGCAATGTTGGTAATCCCCAGATCGTGAACCTGAAGAAAAAGTATTTGTGGAATCGCAATGGTAAAGTTGATTTCTTCTGCACACAGATGCTCAGGGTGAGGTGCCTGCTTGCCACAAATGTCGTATAAGTACTTGACCCCACCACGTTCCACGAAGGTCGCTCTCATCTGAGGTAATAGCTCTACACGCCTTTGGGTAAAGGTCTGCCGAAGTGTCTCTCGAGGAAGAATGTGTAGGGCATGAATTGCTGTGGCGATGCGATGTCTTGGGGCGTCTCCCTTAAGAATTGTTGAAGCCGTGGGCCCAAGGGCATAGTCGCGCTCAAGCGCATCCTCTGAAGCTTTGAAATGAAATATTGCATCGTATTTGAGTGCGAATGGAAGAGCTTTATTGGCCGGGCATAATGATAGGATCATGTCGAAGAGTTCAGCCGGAAGGTCGAAAAGTTTTCCGAAAGTATAGGTCGAAAGTGGACGGCGGTCCTTATGGAACATATTGAGCATAGTAAATTCATCAAGGGAGGAAAGCGTAAGAAGATCGGCATTCTCCTGGGTGGAATTCGGTGTTACAATAGCGATTAGAGCTGGAGATAGAGTCGTTTCTGTAACAAGAGTTTTACAGCAATAGTGGACCAGGTGAACTCTTCTCCGTGTTCCTATGCGGCGAGTTGTTGATACAGTTAACTTTCCAATTTGAATCTTGCGTACGGAACCTCCTTCATAGGTTGGATTGATGCCCTCAATATCCTCGTCTAGTATTGTTGACACAGCGCGGTAAGATGATGGGTCTTCGTAATCCACCTTAGTCCCACAAAGCGCGCATGTAGGCGTGTACCAGTTGCCAACGGGTAGTTCATATAGTTTTTCGGACATTTTGGGGTGAAAGATAACGAAGAATTAGACTACAATAAATAGTTCGGCAGGATCCAAAGACGTTACAATAGCACTTCGGTCACGTGATACACCTTAATCAACCGGCCCAATAGAATTGATGATTAGTGTGGGTCGCTTCGCTCACATGATCAAAAACACATAGGACCTAGGGTAACACGCGGGTGACATAACGCCGACGCTGGAAGAGCTAGTCATGTAGAGTAGCGCAACTTGACGGTAATCTGCTGTGGACACTCAACAATACGTAACGCCTAAAAGGGCAACTGCGGCAGTAAAGGCGCATGAGTAGTTTATGCCATCTACCGGTAGGCGCGCAGCACAGGACATGAGCGAAGCGCAACATCACCTCACGACTAGGTTTCTCATCCAGGATGCCTCTCGTATTGCATCAAGCACCATATAGCATCAAAAAGCAAGCGTTTGACAAACTACTCCTATTGCTTCGCATTGAAGAAGGAATCCAGCTACGGCTGAAACGGCTCGAGGGAGAGACCGGAGATAATTAGTAAGCGTTGCAACCGTGCTATTAACGCACAGACCAACCAGCCTCTTAGGGTGCCGACGTTGCGCCGAGCCAGCCCTTGGCCTCCACATTGTCGCGCGTTCGCTGCGACACCCTTCAACTGCCACTTATTACTTTGCGTGTCTCTTTCGACGGCTCTTCCCATCCTCTTTGAAACACGCAGGTCGCGGCCGACCGCACGCGCAAATTTGCCGCAACTCATTGGCGAATGTCTTAGAATGCCTACACCATCACGATTAGAGATCATCCAGTCTAAACCAATAGCTGGAGGGTTAGATCCCTTTCGCGCCTTTTTCAATTCTACATATGAAGATGTAGACATTCCCGAAACCTCCCAGGTGCTGGGACCGGTAGGAAATGAAGGTATTGTGGACATATCATTTTGAAGCCCTCCTCTAATGTTTACATAGAGACCCAGGATTGTCTAGTCGCCCTCGTATCCGCTCTTCAAACCCTTCCAGCCTCTCGTCACCTGCCCTCGACCCGTGGTGGCAAGAATCTGCTCGAAGATCTGTCAAGGCTTATGACCGCTGTCAATACCGATGAGTTCGATATCGACCGAATACTTCCTCTTTTACAAGCAACCCTTCGCGAAGAATCTGACGACGTAATTTGGAACGCAGTCTACGACGCCGTCACCGAATCGACGCCTCCACCTCGGCTTACCTCGTCCTTCCAACAAACACCCCTGTCCATCAACACAGGCAGCTTCGCGAACTCGACCGAACACCGCAAACACGTAGACGATGTACTAACGGAGGAGTTAGGACATCTATACGTTGGCATACCAGGTTTCTTCGATGCGTTCTTCGGAGATGTACCAGGCCTGAGACCGGCGGCACAGGCTGTGTTCAACAAGTGCAAGGAAGAAGATAGCCCACTCTTCTGGGTAGAGAGCGGCTGGCAGGGCTGGCCTGAAGGGGCAAAGAAAAGGATGTTCTGAGCTGGTTTGCCTCGCTTACAGACCGGCTGTTGGACCTTGCAGAAGGGCATCGGCCGGTGTCTGGAATACGCCGGCGACCACTAGCCCAGCCGCACCAGCCCCTGCTAGGCTCCACTGCTGATCGCAAGCTGGACATTGGCTTTGTGGACGATCCGAACGCCGGCGTGAACTCGAAGTGTCGATGGTCACAGATCCTCATACCCGGAGAGCTTAAGAGCAACCCGTTAGCCGATAAAGCGTCTAAGGCGTGGCTCGACCTTGGCCGATACGCGAGGGAGGTGCTCGCCGCCCAAGACAGCCGCCGCTTTGTTCTTGGCTTTACTCTTTGTGGATCCCTTATGCGGCTATGGATATTCGGTCGACTCGGGGGCATCGCCTCTGAGCAATTTAATATTAATGAGGATGGGCTGCAGTTCGTGTCTGCAGTGCTTGGGTTTCTCTGGATGAACGAGGAACAGCTAGGGTTTGACCCGACGATTATTACAGTTGGAGACAAGCGGTACATTGAGATTAAGCGTGAAAATAGGAAAGAGCGCCTCGTCATTGACAGCTTGATAAAGCGGGTGCCTTGCGTCGCTGGTCGAGCAACAACTTGCTGGAAAGCTTATAAAGAAGAAAATCTCGACACGCCGCTCGTTATTAAGGATTCATGGCAGTATCCGGAGCGCGAAGAGGAGGGCGAGCTGCTGCGCGAGGCGACCGAGAAGCAGGTGAGGAACGTTGCGAGGTACTTCCATCATGAGACGGTCCGCGTAGGCGGTCAAGATGATGACATCCGCTCAAACGTACGGAAAGGCCTGGACATAACGAAGGCAACGAACTATAAGCCAGAGAAGCCGATGTCGCCACCAAGCACGACCGGACGCCGGGCCTCGCGGAGAGACGGAAGCAGTAGCGTCCACGGACAGAAGCGATCATCGAGCTGTACAGGAATACCACTGCCACCTAGCAAGCGCACTTGCTCGAGCTCTCCAATAAAAAGTCCTGTTGCGAATCGGGTACATCGCCGTGTCATCGTCCGGGACTATGGGAAGGCTATCTACAAAGCAAGCTCTCAAACCAGTCTGCTTGCTGCATTGGAACAATGCATCGAAGGGTATGAGTCGTTACATACACAAGCGGGCATGCTTCAACGCGACATATCGCTGAACAATCTCATGGTGAACGAAGATGACAGAAATCCCTCCTGGCGCGCGTTCTTGATCGATCTCGACCTTGCCATCAAAGAACAGCGCGAGAAGTCTTCGGGAGCTCGGGGTAAGACTGGTACCAGAGCATTTATGGCAATTGGAGTGCTTTTAGATGACGAACAACACTCCTACATGCACGATCTCGAATCGTTTTTCTGGGTGTTATTCTGGATATGCATTCATTGCGAGGGTCCGAAGCACGAAAGGGTCGTTCCACGGTTTGATAAATGGAACTACCTCGATACCGAAGAGTTGGTTGGGTCAAAGAAAGGCATCGTGGATGATGAACGCGACTTCCTTAAAACAGCCCAGAGAAACTTTACGCCGTTTTACCAGCCATTGATCCCATACGTTAATAGGCTTCGGAGGATCGTATTCCCCAATGGCGAGAGATGGAGGGTCCCCAATGCTCAGCTGTATCATGATATGAAGCAGATCCTCCAGGTAGCTCAGAATGAGCTGAAGGAAACGAACAGATATGCCTAACGCAAGAAACTAAGCGAAGGCAGGATCACAGGCTTCACAATAGCTACAGGTGGGCTGTCAACGTCAACCTTCGCACGGTTACTCTTAGCTCGTGGTACAATAACCCGTCTTTTGAAAAAGAAACATGTAAAGTAATTAACTTATTTTTGTTGTCAGTTATTTCAAACGATTCGTTGTCACTTTTTGATTAGACTAATAACGTAAACCGTGATAAGCATCACTAAGGTTAGGGCAGAAACAGTAAGGTGTACACTCGAGCGGAGCACGCATCAAAGTTCAGAAGACCAGCATTATGTGTACAGCATCTTGAGGTACAGCTACTAGAGCTGCCGAAGTCATAGTATACAAGAACAGCAGAATCAATGCCTAGTCTCACCTGCGGTCATGTGTCGTCAGCCCTTGCGCAGAACCACCATAGTGCCAAGCTGCACATGCTCTGCCAACTCCGCCAGCACGCCGCCTGGCAAATCCCTGTTGCCTTCCACAACCCTCGCTGCAAAGTGAGCAGCTCTCGCCTGCATATTCATCACCATGGCGTAGTCCTGCTGATGCGACGACATGGACGACCAGTTAGGGATGATGCGCCTAAGCGCGGTCTCGTTGGCGCGACCAATGCACGCGTACCCATGCTGCACGGCGTCCTGCAGTTGTGCGTAAATCTCCTCGTTGGACATACGGTCAAGCACAGCCTGGGGAGGCGAGCGGCCAAGAACAGGTAGGCCAAAGCAATCGCCTTTGCCTACAGGGCGGGAAGTGTCGACCAGAAAGCCTGCAGCTATCGCCGCGTCGCGCGCTTGTTGAGCGGCCGTCACCCAGAATCGATCGGGAGCCATCTGTATAGCGAATTGTACCTGCCTGAGCGGAAGAGGAGGACCTTGGGGGACAGGGACGCGAGGCATATCGGTGACCTGTATGAGAAGGATGGAGCCGGGAGCTTCGGTGTGACCGGTGGACCTGAATTGCACAGGAACGGTCGTCTCAGCAGGCGTGGGCGCGATGTCGGTGAAGCGGGCGGACATGGTGATGATAAGGCGTCCAGTAGGCTTGAGCAGTTTGCGTAAGTTGCGAAGCAGTTGAAGACGTTGGTCGGCCGGAATCGTCTTGAGTAGGTGAAGAGCGAAGATACAATCGAAGGTCTCGGGCGCCCCAGGCAGCGCGGCGATACGATTTTTTAGAGCGCCATCGGTGACGTTTGCGCACAGAAGATGGACTTGCTGTTGGGGAGCTCCTTGAGGAGGCACAGTGAGGCCCGCGTGGTTGAGCTGCCAAGGGATATCGATGGTAAGAAAGCCCTGCACAGCATCCACGGCGACGCAGAACCCAGCGCCAACCGCCCGCTTCGCATCGGCGATCAATCGGCCACTACCGGCACCAATTTCGAGGACGCTCTGTCCAGGCTGTAGGGAGGCTAGCTCCAGAGCGCGCTGTCCGTCTGGGCGATGGGAAGGATCCAAGTAGTCGTGAAGGCCAACCATGCGCTGGAAGGCGTTGTCAATCTCGGGAATTGTGCGATAGTACACCATGGCGACGGGGGGAATCGGGCCAAGTGCGGATGGTGAGGTTGAGCTGAGAGAGAATCGGGAGGCTCGAATGTTGCGAGTATAGGAAGTTAGTGTCGCAGAAGTAGAGAGTATATATTTGTGAAACAATGTTAAGGTGGATGGTGAGAGCTGATGTTAAAGGGAGCAGGGACATAGATCCTGTGTTGATATTGAAGAGTGCGGTGACATGTGAGGTGAAAGTTGACTTCACATTGGCTTGTGGTAAATGAAATCGTGTATGAGTGGTAAAGGTAAGATTAACCCTGAAGAACTTCGGCAGCTAATTGAGCTTGAAGGTGAAGTTGGAGTGGCAAAATGCTGAAGTTCAAACCTAACTACCAGACTCCGCAACAATCAATCGGATCGGCATGATTGATTCCTATCTAGGTTAAAGGCTGCCTAATGAAGTAATTCTTTAACCTATATAGGAATCAATCATGTCAATCGATTGATTGTTGCGGAGTCTGCTAACTACAACTGACTAAAGTACAGTACAGTACATTCCTCAGTTGTGCCTGCGCAAAGATTACGCAACCACCAAAGCGCAATTAGAATAGCTAGCAAAACATGTCGCTGTGATTGTGCTCTGCTCAATTCTCTCCACGATCGAAAAAGCTCTAACGTTAGACAAAAATTATAGTTAGATGTGTCACGAAATCCGAGCCTACCCAAGGCGAAGCTGGTATAGACTTACAGCGATTGTTAGAGTGTAGGAAGAAAGTGGAGTGTTATAGATCAAAGTACCCCTCATTGTCTCAACACGGTGGGTGTCCCAGCACTTAAAGACGGACGTTAGTTTTGTCTCACTTATTATTGATATATCTCAACATAATTAGGCTAGAAACAGGAATATTATTGAGAAGCTGGCACTATTAGTAGTAGTATGACTACCTAATAGAGCGCTCTCTAAGGCACAACGGTAGTGGTGGTACGACTCGTATTGTATTGACTAAGGAGCTATTCACACGTTCGTAGATCCGTGTTGCGTGCAGCTGCGTCCAAGCTCCCCGCTAGGACCCACCTGCACGTGTCACCAATCATGTGACTACTCCTCCGCTTGATACCACCAAGTCACTTACGGACTGTATTCTCAACAAATATATACATTATTACTAATCTATCCATGCAGTATCAAATTCGATAGTACATCGCAAGCAGGATTTGACTAGTCATGAGAAGCTATTCAAATGAATCCTTGTTTCACCCGCATTCGTTTTGAGCTGTACTTATGCTCATAGGGTTCAGAAACGCTTGGACGTTTCAAAGGGATTGCAGGCAGTGGCTTTTCGCACGTCATGTGGTCTATAGTGCCGAAGGGTCGCTCAAGATTCTGATCATTGATTAATTTCCAGACTTTCCAAAAAGCAAGTTGACTTGGATTACTTGCTTGACTTGCTTGGTTTAAACCAAGCAAGCAAGTCAAGTAAGAGCTGGGCAGCTAAGCAAGCAAGTCAAGTCAAGATACTTTGCTTGCTTGGCTTACTTGGTTTACTTGGTTGTTTTAGCGTTACTGTGATGAGGGTGCTAAAACTGCTGTACGGTAGATGTCGCGATGGTTTTGAAGTGTTGCAGTTGCCTCGGTTGAGTCCCAAACAGGCTAAGCGGCTATCAAATAACGTTAGCCTTAGTCTAGCGCATTGCTCCAATCTCGACGTACGCCTGTCTAGAAGCCTATCGCAATGCAGTATCCCCTATAGCAACGCGTTTTCCAGTGATTTATACTGCCCTGATACCCCCAATATGGCCAAACGTCGCCTACCACAAACTTCTGCTCGGAGCAAACGTACGAAAGTAGCCGCTGCCACCAACAACGTCGCCTCAACTCCTGAGGCTTCACCTGAGCCTGCATCTAAGCCTGCATCTAAGCCTAGACCTCAGCGTCGATCACCTCGCAAAACCCTAGCTGCCGCAAGCCAGGCTAACGCCTCGCCGCCAATACCTACCTTCGAGTTGCAGTTCTTAGAGTCGCAGGCGGAGGCTGAGATTGTCGCGCCCACCGAGGGCAGCCGAGCTGGCACGGTGGCTACAACTGAGGCTGGAGAGGGTGGTCAGGATGAGACAAACAGCGCACTAGTTGAGAACTTTGACGGCATTGACTGGGCACGTTTACCTGATTTTATCAAGCCATTGGCGCGTTCTAAGCGCCCAAAAAGTTGGATCTTTCAGTATGGCTACCGCGTTGTTGAGCGCCATGCTACATCTCGAATCTGGTTTGTGTGCAAGTACTGCCATGTACACAAAACTATCGACGCTGGCCGTGGTGGTTTGTTTAACATTACTCAGGCTACAACCTCAGCAGCCACCCATCTCAGCCAACCAAAGCCTGGCCACAACCTTACGAAAGATGGCCCAAAGTTAGCGCAGAGAGCTCGAGGCCAGCTGTCGTTGCGGCAAGCTTTTGACGCTGGTTTAGACGTACAACAAAACACTGCTAACGCGTTTGGAAACTTCGACGTAGAGGGCTTTCGAACAGCCACTGTCATGTGGCTTGTTAACCGAAACCACCCGCTCAGCGAACTTACGACGCCTGATTTTAGAGAGATGATGAGATTTGCCAACCCAGAGGCAGAGGCAGCGTTGTGGGTAAGTAATACCAGCGTTTCTACCTTTGTGATGAGGTTGTTCCGGTCTATACGACCGCAAGTTATCGACACCCTGTCAGGCTCAGTAAGCAAAATACACGTAAGCTTTGATGGCTGGACAACAAAGGGTGGTAAACGTGGCTTCTTTGGAGTAGTCGCTCACTTTGCCGACGCAGCTGGAATAATACGAGACTTACCAATCGATCTGCCTGAGCTCGCTGGCGCCCACACCGGTGAGGCTATTGCCAAAGCTATCTCGACGACGCTCTCAGCATACGGAATAACAAGCGACCGATTAGGCTATTTTGTACTCGACAACGCTACCAACAACGACACTGCGATCGCCGCGCTCGCGCGCGAGTACGAATTTGAGTCCGCTCACCGGCGCCTCCGCTGCAGTTGTCACACGCTTAACCTCATCGGCCAGGCTATTATATTTGGCACCAACAAAGACGCCTACGGCAACACTCAAGAGCAGTACAATACCGAGGAGCAGTATATGCGAGAGTGGCGGAAAGATGGCCCTATTGGAGTGCTAGTTGACGTCATCAACTATATCAAAACGCCGCAACAGTACGAGCTTTTTCGTGGCTACCAGCGCCTTGCCAACAACAACCTGCCTGCTGAAGGGCGTCTCAAAGTACTCGAGCCAGTCAAGCCTGTCGTCACTCGCTGGAACTCATACTATGCTGCTTTTGAGCGCGCTACCAAGCTTCAAGCCGCGTATAACTTGTACGCTGAGCATCATATCAATAGGGTTATCCTTGAAGATGCGCACGCTGCGCAGCGGAATAATAAGCGGCCCGACGCCCCAAACTGGATGAGATCAACTGGGCTCCGAGCTGCTGACTGGGCGGTGATTGCAGAGTACCAGGACTGCTTAGAGCCGCTCAAGTACGCCACAAAACGCCTCGAGGGACGCTCTAAGGATGGCAAATACGGCGCAATCTATGAGGTTATACCCGTTTTTGAGTACGTACTCAGCAAGCTTGAGGCCCGGGCGCGCCCGTTCGAGCACGTCGACTTCAACGCTCATGCCGAGGCTCCAGAGGATCACCTCAACGTCAACCTCCGCGCCGCGTGGAGCAAAGCCAACGACTACTACAACAAGCTCGACGACTCGCCCGCTTACTACGCCGCTGTTTGCCTACACCCGTACTACAAGAACTACTGCGATGTGGCGTGGGCAGACAAAGCTGATTGGCTTACTAGTGCCAACGCGTCGTTCCAACAGCTTTGGGCGGCATACAAACCTCAACGAGCACGCCAGCGGTATACAACTGCGCCGAGTAGCAACAACATAGACGAGGCAATTATTGCTATACTTAGCCGCAACAATGACCGAGAGGCTCCACTTGACGAGTTTGAGCGCTGGAAAACACAAGAGCCGCAGTGGACGCAGGAGCAGTACAACGCAGATGGAAATCCTGTCCAATACTGGATACAACTACTGCCGAAATACCCGCATTTAGCGCAGTTTGCAATCGATATCATGACTATCCCAGCATCAAGCAGCGACTGTGAGCGCCTCTTCAGTGAGCTTGGCGACCTTCTTGAACCTAAACGACGTGCTCTGGGCAGTGAGCTACTCGCAGCTCTTCAATTAGTAAGGTCATGGGTGCGAGCTGGTTATAAACCGTACAACTGTAGCGAGGCTAAGCTTTCAGATGAGCAGCTTGTAGGAGATTACAACATACTAGAGTGGAACACTGAGTTTTGGTAATTTGTATGTAGCTTAATCTCTTTGTAGTAGTCAAGTAATCCAAGTACTTGCAAGTAATACAAGCAAGTCAAGCAAGTAAAAAAATCACCCCAAGCAAGTCAAGTAAAGCCTATGTTTGAACCAAGCAAGTCAAGTTTAGAGCGGTGACTTGCTTTACTTGCTTGTTGGAAAGTCTGTAAGTTCCACATTAATTCCATCATCTAGATAAGTAGGTACATGCGCTCTTCTTGAGATAGTTATTAAATTCAATCCATTATCTTACTCTACGAGAATGAAAACTGAGATTGAGGCTCAAACAGCATCTCGCTATTATGGTTGGCAATGGCAGCCACAGTCCGCAACAATCAATTAAGTGGGTCCTAGAAGGTTCAGATTGGATTGATTGATTACCGCTTTAAGCCTAGTAGTTACCTATAGGAGTTTAAGCCCTACCTAGATAGGTAAGTGGGTCTAGGAGAGTGACCGGATTGAATTGATTGTTGCGGAGTCTAATGGCAGCGATTTCTGGTTCGTAGGTTTCATCGCTCTTAAGGCAGAGACTAACTTAACGATCGAAGCTGTTCACCCGACAACAAACGGTACATGTATCGCAGCAATGGATGCAAGCTCCAGACAATATGCAGAGTGAGATTATTGAACGTGTGAACGCGGCATTGGCGTATGAGAAGATTCCTAAGGTCCCAAACGGGGTCATCCATTGGCGTATGGAGACACTCCTAAACCGCCGTACTCGTACAAGCCATAATGAAGTCAGCTAGATCTCATCCGCATGCACTCTGGGTTGTATCTGCTAACGATGATAATAGAGTGGATACGGTAGAGACCAAGAGGAGGATCAAACCACGGCCAGCAGTTAAGGGTGACAAAGACTTGCTAGGTTCTTTCATGTATTCGCTGCTGCACCTAGCTTGAACTGCCATTGTTGATTTTGATCTCTTTTCCATTTATCTGGATTGCTTGCTGGTCTCCGTGATCTTTAGCTGCCCTCCGTGTATAGATACTAGCAAACGTTCCGAAGTTTGGTGGTTAGGGCAGGGATGGAAATGGAGCACACATACCCCAGATCACCGCGAAAAAAAGTTCCAGCGGGCTTAACCATCTTGCCAAGCCTTCATATAGCCGAACGCCGTAAGGCCTCTACTGTAGCTATGATAATCTTCATGAACACTATCACTATCGTTCGTGACAGAAAGCTGATTTCTACTGGCGAGCACGCACTCGCACTGCTAAATTACTGCGCTTAATTACAGCCTCTGTGCCTCACACGCGCACCCACCCTGGTTGCCACGGCGCCTATCTACCGCAAGTGCGCGAGTGCACTTCTACCCTCTGCTAACTTACCATTCACGACAGTTTACAACGCCGGTCCTCCTCAAGTGCGCGCGCACACATCTGCCCTCTGCTACCGTTTACAGTGCCCGTCTACCGTTTACAGTGCCCGTCTACCGTTTACAGTGCCCGTCTACCGTTTACAGTGCCCGTCTACCGTTTACAGTGCCCGTCTACCGTTTACAGTACCTGTCTACCGTTTACAGTGCCCGTCTACCGCAGATTCGCCCGCTTGTAGCAAGCACACTGACCCTACCTACAACGGTTTACAGCGCCGGTCTTCCGTAAGTGCGCATGTCCTCCTGACTACGCTCGTCCATCGCAAGCACACCTTCCCCAACGACTACGATGTGACGCACCCGTACATTATTAACACGATATTTGTGCACTATGCCCTACTATCCTTGATATTCTCGTTACAAGAGGCTATACAAATGGACACAGTGAAACGTGTTGGCAGGGTATATCATTGGCTATTTGACTACTATATGGCTATCTACAGAAGGGCAAGGGCTATCAAGTATCCTACCTGCCACATTGCCTTTACACTCGCTGAATTGACTATTGGCGGGGAGACTGCTACGGAACTGGTACTGGAATTTGCGGACAACGTACCAGTAGCGACATGTGTAATTGTGTGACTGGGGGTGAGGTCTACACTCGGTAGTTCGCATGCGTTAGATGGCTGGGCTTCAATACCTGCCAAAGCATTGTGAAGAAATTGAGCATGCGATCCATGGGGGTTCAGACTAAAGACCATGCCCGCTTGACAATGAGACCGCTTGACCGTCTGAGCGCAGAAGAACCACTTAGGATCTTGATCGACAACCTTGAACTCCACCACAAACTTCCCGCTCGTGTTTTTTGGATTAAACTGGTGAAACCCAGAGTCAAATAATTGGTTACTTCGGCATGGATCCCAGAGTTCACTCTGGGTCAAGGTATGGTTAAGCCCAAGGAAGTTGAAAGCAATGACAGAGCCAATGGTAGCATTCAGGGACGATGGTGAGAAGACAAGCTTTCCTGCTTCGCCAACAGTGACAGTGGTCGTAGGATAGGGCACCGATGCGGTTCCTGTAGGATAAGACATGGCTGTGGTTCCTGTAGGCTCTAAGGTATGTGTGGTATTCCAACCCCATAGTGAGTTTGGATTCCATGGCAGATGTGATGTAGGATTGGCGATCTCGGCAGTTGTATGCGATGTGTGTGTTAACGAAGTGCTGAAGGATGTATGCAAAGATGAACTGTTGCTCCATGCCCGCATGGATATCTTATGGGGTCTTCGGTAAATCTGTGGTCTTTGGTATGCTGGAGTGGAAGCCAGCACAACGGTGCTAACACAGTACCACCAAATGAGTTGAAAGGTAGCCATTGTCTCTACACCCAGCAATCACAGTCTAGGTTTACTGTTAAGTAGTGCATTAGCTATGCAGATGTCGGAATACTGTAGGTCACTTAGCACTTGAACACGATATTCGGTTTCCTGCTCCTGTAATGGCATTGCCAAGGCGCCCAATCCGGGTTCTGGTCTGCCGTATTCCAGAGAACGATAGTTATACCACTGGGTACGGGAGACAGGCTCTGGTAGCGCTCTATAAAGGCATCCACTTGTCAGTCATCTTTTTCGCAGAAGCATCATCCATCCACACAATTAAGCAGGACTTAATATCTTTAACTCAGTACATTACACTCATACAAACTTAGACACCACCATTCTATAACCACCATCATGGCCACCCAAATTGCCCATCCCTCTCTCCCTTTCGACCAAGACGCTGGGTTCCAGAAAAACACTCAGCCAGCTTGGAAAGGAAAAGAAAAGGCTAAGGCTAAACAGCTACATGCAACAGCAGAAGACGATTCCGACGGGCAGAATGGCCCTGGATTGAGCAGCAGTAGCAACAAAAAGGAACTCATCGCCAATGGAGAAGACGGCGGTGGCGAGATTGAGGAAGTGCAGCGCAGTGACGAGGAACTTGATACAGAGACGGAAGAAGAAGATGATGATCCCTTCGCTTCCTCTGGATCTTCTGATTCGGAAGCTCCTCCCGATGAAGATGAAGCAATTGTTGCAGCTCGCAAACAGGCAAAGCGTGATCGGAAGAAGGGTGAGACAGATGAGCAACGAAACGCGCGAAGACAGGCGACCAAGGCACGCCGAGCATTACAGGACGGGCGCCAAGTTGCAGAGACTGCTAACGCAGGAATGGTTGGTTACATGGAAGCACGCAAAGAGAGAAAGCCGCCATCTGAACGTCCACAAAAAGTTGAAAAAATATGGCGCGGCCTATATCCCATGGTGAAGACTTGGTGGAAGGAGGGTGGGAAAGAAATACCTCAGGCGCATATGCGTTCTATCAACGCCGCGCAGTCCAAGATTAGAAAGTACTGCGAAACGCTAATCAATACGCCTGAGCAAGTTGAGGCTACCCACCGTTACCATCGCGAGTGGCCCCTTAAAGCAAAGAAGATTCGATCTACTCATATTGGAGTCTCAGATACGCAGCTGGAGCCTATCTTGACGGAAGCAGAGAGGGATTTTCGGCAAAAAATCGGTATGAAGGATTATAGCAAAGATGGCGAGGAAACTTTAGCCGACCTTCAACATAAATATGGATTTCCATATGAGTTACTTCATGGTCAAATTCATGCTATGGGAAAAGAACTCGAGATTCTCAAAGACCTCCCAAAGGATAACTCCCACAAGACTAGAGTAGAGCGCCTTGAGAAAGATGTACAAAATGAGGCTCCCGGGAAGCAAAAGCAAAGACTTGAGAGGAGACTGGAGAAGGCGAAGGGAGCGAGGGTAGAAAATGACAAAAAGACCACTGCGTTCCTACGCGGGGTATTGTTGTTCATGGAGAGTTTGTCTGATCTTGGTATTGCCCCAGCATCAGTCATATCGGGCACAGCAATGACGGAATTTCACACCTTCCTCAAGTCTTCAGACCAACACCAGGAGCTTTATCAAAAGCTATCTCAAGAACTAGAAAGGCCAACCCTCGAGCAGGTAGAGTCCTGGGAGTTAGTAGCTAACCCAGTATACGAACTTGTAGAAACAATGCGCGATCGAAACGGGATGGTTACAGACAAGCAGATAGAGACTGTGAAGGAGCAAATGGAGGTGGTCACCACGTACAACAAGAAGTTACAGCTTGCGAACAAGGAGAATGGCCTCGAAGCAAATATGAACTCGGTGCCTGTCTCAATACTGACCGAGATGATGAATGAGTGGCAAGCCGGTCACTCAGATATCGTGGATACCAACCTGGAAAGGCTACTGGACCAACTCCGTACTGAAGAGCCTGCTAAGGATGTTTTGAAGTCTTTAGAAACTCGTATCGCTCCTGCCAGTTCTGCGCGTCTCGAAGCTCCCGCCAATCCTAAGCGCTCTGAAGCTATTTTGCACCCTAAAACTCCCATCGCTTCTGGTGTTCCTAAAATACCAGAGATGGCCGGATCGGGTAACTCTACGCGCTCAGTATCAACACCACCTACCCCTAGCAGGAATGTATTGGAGAAAGACCTACTTGATATGGATATCGATTCAATGTCGCTAGATAACGACCGTATTAAATCCTTTACATACGATAATGGAGAGACTGAGTTTGGCACGCTGGTAGCAACTCGCGCTTCTCTATCAGAAAATCCACGCTTCCATCGGTTCATTGTCAACGCTGGCGTAGGAGAAGAGAAATGGGAATTCTTCCAGGTTATTAGGGGAAGCGATTTGGGCCCAGGAGGCGCTGAAAGCATGCCCGAAGACAAAGAGATGAAGTTTGATTTGAGAGACAGGAAGAAAAACCTCAAAGCTCACCCTCTATGTGAGGTCGGCCCTTGTGTAGTTATGTCCCGTGCGGAGGGATATGTCTGCCGTGCTCGTACCAAGCCACATCAACCGGACACATACATCAGAGTGACCTATACGGGGCTTGATACTGCAGATTGGTTGAGCAAGACTGAATTTATCCAGCTTGCTGGGAAAAGATATGCGGAGCGGAAGCTAGCCAGTTTGGTTCCAGCTTACTACCAAAGGGAGAAATACTTTGCAGCCTGCAAAGCTCAGAAGCGGCATCCCAAGACGAAGATGCCTCTGACAGCCGAGGATCTGGAGAATTCTCCATGGCTATTCCCAGAAGAAGACAGACTTTCGTACAGTTACGGGGAAGTCGACGAAGAAGTCGACGAAGAAGAGGAGACAGCAAGCAGCCCTCTCGCTACGAATTTTGGAAATGCTTCAATCTCTGAAGCATTTAGCAAGGCTAGAGAGCCCTTACCCGGTTATAATACACATAAAAATGAGTTGGACAAGGAAACTGATGAAGAGTTGTAGCCATGGGCGGAAAGTATAGGGCCTTAAAGTGACAAGAAGAGTTAGTTATAGGTGACATTGGTAGTATATATTTCGTAGGACAATCAAATATCTAAAGTACTTAGTTAAGGCTAAGCTACCTCTTAACTTAGTTGACTGCGAGGAAGTGACTTTCATTTCTATGTAGAGCCCAGTTGAAATTTAACTAAAATTAAGTAAGATTAGCAAAAGCCGACAGTTTTGTGATATTGTCAAACTTACCGTAAGAGAGAATCGCAACTCAGCATTCCATATGACACCTCGCCTAGCAATTTCCGCCGTAATGGCTTCTCTCCTCGATATCTCTAGCGCATTGTTTTCGAATATGAACTTGACGAGTTCGTTGTCTGTTGTAACAGCTTGCAGTATGCAAAGAGCCTGCCACTCATCGACATTGCGGGAAAAGACCTCAACGAGCTTTTGCATACTAATTGCATCAGGTATGTGATCTTTGTACACAAACATCGTGTACAGTGCTTTGTATCCACTTTCCGTATCGTTTGTTGTCGTCCCACGCTCAATATTTTGGGGCGCCAGATCGATATGAGTTCCAGCATGTAGGCTAGCGCGCGGGCTATTATCCGTCCGAAGCCCTTCCAGGGGCATGGGGCTTTCTGTACCATTTGTTGTCGTCCCATGCTCAATATCTCGGGGCACCGGATCGATATGAGTTCCAGCATGTAGGCTAGCGCGTGGGCTATCATCTGTCCTTCGCGCCCATACATACGCCAGATGAAGCCCTTCTAACGAGATCAGGGATTGTACGATGCATAATACCTTGTAAAAGTTAGCAGTGCTTACATCTATGTAGTCCAGTTATACATACCGCAAGAAGAAGCTGATAAGGGGTTGTCTCTTTCGAGAAGTAAATGCAAATCGCTAACACAGCCAAGAAGTAACCAAAACTTGTAGCCCAATAGCTCCAGATACCACGGACAATGGCGATCCATATATAGACGAGAAAAATAGTAGTTATCGAGACGATCTGAAGGCATCGGGAAAGCAACAAGCTGGATAGCCATCAGTCCTAGGTCCATATAACGGATTGCAGATATATACTTGGTATTCCAGATGGTTACGACCACAAGAAAAACAGTTAGACCACATGTGAGTACATGGAGAATCTTCTGCCACCGGTGGGCTGGCCAGTTAAAGACCCCGATCTGTCTTCATTAACATATGTCATCTGGAATAATCGTGGCCACTTACCCAGTCCATATATGCCAGGAGATATAGTACTAAGAGCAACGTAGCGAGTGTGTAGTTGAGTGTAGCCTGAAGCAAGCATTCGAGTATACCCACTCCACATAGAGCGGACACAACGATTTGCAGAGTCACAACAGCTCGATCTAAAGGCTCGCATAGATCTCTTACTCGGAGATAAAAGTAAATTAGTAGATTGACGAGTCGAAAGAAGAGTACAAGCGAGAGGCCTAGTGTGGAGACAGTATTGGAAACGCTCATCATGATAATGGAGAAGGCTGATAAGTAAAAGTAACTTAGAAGACAGAGGAGAAAAGGGTTCTTAATATATCCTGAGCGCTTCGTAGTGGTCTTGGCTAACATCGCTAACCCCTAGTTAGATCGTGGGCCTCCGTCTAGGTGGCCTCGGTTTTATGCACAGGAAGTATCACGCGTATTAAAACGTTATGTACCTAATTATCGGATCACTTCCTATTTTTCTTGATGATGTCTCTCCTCTACTTCCGCTCTACCGAAAGTACCTACTGACATACTCACCGCAATTAGTAGGACGAGGTGAAGAAAAGCTATTGTAGGATTGCGGAAACCGCCCCCACTTAACGGACCGCAAGAGCCATCGGACGTGCCGGAGAAGGTGCTTGCATGTGGCCACGCCTTATGCGATCCATGTATTAGGATATTCGGAACTGACTCCCGCTCTAAGAGAAATACATACAAGTTCACAGAATGTATGTTGGGTGGAGTTAACTACAAGAGTTCTGTATTTTCTTTTGTACCTCCAACAGCGGGTATACGCATGCTGAGTATTCGACGGGGGTGGCATCAGAGGTGTGATACCTTTAACCTTTCTCCAACAACTTAACCCTGCACTTGCTCCGCTTAACTGTGTGATTAAGGGTCATTTCGATTTCGTATGCGGAATATTAGCTGGTAAGAATCTCAAAGTATTCTAGAGATATAACTAACCATTGCAAGGTATGCTTACGTTACTACAGGACATCGATATGCCGGGACTGCTTGAGGACCTGGTTAGCTACTAAACATGACATGACCATTGCTGAAATGGACAACAACACACTTATGGTCATTTGTTATGTGTGTGAGGCATACAAGAGTCTGGTGATCTACTGACTTTGCCCTCGCTCGAACACAAGCCGAGCAGCAAACGCATGTCGGCTTGGAGCGTCAGTCTGGGGGAAGGGGGAGAGGAGGAGGAGGTGTAGCCAGATAATCCTTGATTCTTTGTCGTGTAGTAATGCACAAGAGAAGACTAAGTACAGTTCCTACGGTGTCGGAGTTAGGTTTGCTACACGATGTCTTGCTTCCGTAGTATGCCAAAATCTCTGTTAAAAGCCTGCATCATCAAGGCTCCAATGACGGCGACTAAACCTGAAAAGGGAAGGGAAGGGAACGTAGATGACGGCAACTGAGGCGGAGGAGCCTCAACAACGTCGCCATGACTAGTATCGATGCGATGCTAAAATTGTATTGACGCGGCGATGGAAATGTATATGGAGGAGAATTGCCAAGTTACATAACATAAACGAAAGGGGCGGTTTTCAAGCGAAGGAAGGGGTTTTGCTTTCTCTTCGCAATGCCTACTACTTACAGCTAGACAACTACCTTGTTACATTACTCTGGAAACCCCTATCACGTCTTTCATACAATCGGAGATCGAATAGGGCCCTTCCACATGCTAGACAGCGACAAGACGGCGAACGGCAATTACATCCTACAGCTTGTGACATCACGGAAACGCCATGAAACGTTGTATTTCGAATAGGCCCTGACGCAGTGTATTCACGAAGATATCCATCAGAAAGTCGATATTAGGAATATGGTTCAGGACAAGAGTGGCTGTGTAAGCTGATTGGTTGGATTCGCAAGAGTTATGGGGCCGTTGCCAATGAAACGACAGCGAGGCGGTGAGGCTGGTGCCACAAGGCTGAAGAACTCTCGCGAGCCGGTTACAGTATGCCAAGTTTTGCGTGGCTCACCTACCGCCCGGATCAACCAGCTGCTCTTGCCACGTCACGCTCAAGAAGTTCCACGGTCGTCGCATCACGTATCGCCGCAACAACGGGAATTCAAATCGCAATGCAATCCCGCAGTAACGCACACGTCTCAAAACTTCAATTGTCGAGCGACCTTGAAAAACTAGTGTCGGTTTTGCGCGATGACACATTACGTACTTACGCGCGTGGGGTTACAATTGCAACATCACAAGCCGCATTCAACATCGATCGGCATACGGGCATTCGAATCCGCATTGAGCAGATGTATACAGTACGTTCACAATAATAGCATGTACACTGTTATACTAACGTCTTAGAACGAAAAGCTGTCTCACTCCTTCGGTGCTGTCCTAGGGACAGGAACAACCGTGTTTTCCGGACCGTATTCCTACGCCATAGTCTTCATAGACCAGCTTGATAAACCCGAATTTCTAGTGAATGGAGAGATTCTAGAAAACAACCAGCTCGTTCACTGCCATGACCCAATTTCCGTCTCGGTCAACTCTGGAAGGTTGGTAGTATTTGCGTTCGCATTCCACAAAGCCTGATCATGATCGAAGGGCTGATCAAAGGACTGATCTAAGGACTGATCGAAGGGCATACTAGAACATCCCCAGGGATCAAACTCGGGGTGTAGGTTCGTTTTGTATATAAAGTAGCTCGTTGTATCATGCGGGTGACCTGAGCAATCATAAGTAGGATATGAGTGATGAGGCAGTGTATGCTCAGATCGGACCCCTGGTAACGAGCTGGTGGTTGTCGCTTCATGTTCAATGCTCGCTTACCGTAGTCAGCATGATATGCAGTTAATGCACGGTACTAGCAACTTACGTGCTGGTGTCGAGAACACTCTTTTCAGGAACTTGTCCTTGGTGAGGTATTCATCTAGAAGCATTCTGGCGTTTGTGCAGCTGCTTATCAACCAGGAAAACCTTCGTTGTAGGAGCCTGAATTTTTCCTGAGGCATCGGCGGTACTTTTGCATATGCTAATAGCAAAAGAAAATCGCGTCCCTGCTGATCCAGATACGCGATGTCAAATGTCGTACTGGCGAGCCTTAGATAGGACCTTTGACGCGCCGACAATTCGCGTTTTTTGTATGACTTAGAATTCCCAGCTATGTCCCAGCTGATTAAAGTCGTTCTAACCTTCTCCCACAAACACCTTACTTGGTTTGCGTCTTCTTTAGCTTTGCAAATGGCATTGACGAACTCATTACCTATCTCCGTTGACAGGGTAGTATTGTGACCGTCAGATACGGGTTTCGGATGAGGCCGGGGCTTGCTGAACTTTTCTTGGAGTTTCGCAAGCGCTCGTGTACTGAATTCGGCGTTTGGTGTGGCTAAGATGATTTTGATCGCCGAAGCCAACTCTTTGCTTGGTCTAGGCATCGCGGAGGCGGTCACTGGGCGATGAAAGCAACGGGCGGGGTTGGGTGAACAGGTGCGTAGATGCGAAGATTGCGTCGTTGCAAGGGTGGACGTGTACTGTAGAAGATGTGCGCCAGGTATGGCGTTGCAAGAACAGTCGCTGTGCTGTAAAAGACGGTCGCCTTGGTGTGACGTTAAGAGTAGGTGCTATGCTTTAAAGAATGGCGGCCACACTGTAAAGGATGGCGGCCACACTGTAAAGGATGGCGGCCACACTGAAAAGGATGGCCGCCACACTGCGAAAGATGGCCGCCATGTAATGAGGGCGGGTGGCCGGCCTTTATACCCCAAAGAAAGCTAACGGGTTGAGCCGAGTCCATTGTCTATTAAGTACTGACCTTCCTCCATAGCAAAGGTAAGGTAACTTTTTCTTGTACTATCCTCTTTAGTCTTTGACAATGGTACCAGACGCTACAAAGCTCTCGGCTGGCCTGCTTTCTGGTTTTGTTCTTATTGTACGAGCTCTGCACGCCGTGGCGGTGATGTTGGCTGTTTGGCGAGTGCTCTCCTATCTTCGGTCATGTGGCATCAATGTCTATGCATGGTCCAATGGCCACCGTCTTCTACTGGTAATTCTCTGCCAAAGCTTGCCGCTACTACCCTGCATCTGCGCTATTACAGTGGCACTTACCGGTCCGCCTTCTCGCGCGCTTCAACTCCATTTGATAACGCTTGGAACTATCGACGTCGCCAATGTGGTGGGTAAACACTATCATTTCAAATGCTATGGCTAACTTGCACAGCTAAACTCACGAAAGTGGCTTCGACCTGAAAACGACGCTTCGCGGCGACGTTGGTCTTTTCGGTCTTTTATGGCGCTCCTCTGGCTTGCCGTTATTGCAGGTGTGATATACATTGACGAGACATTCCCCAATGCCTACGGTAATACTGCTGTTCTAGGCAGCAGTTGCTTGATCTTAGCATACTTGTGGTACCAAGCAAGATCTAAAGTGGCAATGGGCCGGATAGAGACCTGGCGTTACACACTTCGCGAGATGTGGGAGATTCTTATCAGCATCGCGCTGCTTATATTAGCCATTCTGATAACTGTTGTCACTGTCACCAAAACCGAGCGTTATAAAACCGCCTTTCGATATCTACCAGGAGTTAGTATTCACTACTCCTGCCCTATACCACAGATGCTAACAAATAGTTGTCAGATATAATGAGATATTGCACAAAAGTGATGGATGTTGATGATTGTCTGTATTGTGTTCTGTCTATCGTGTGTCCGCGCTTGTGGCCCTCTTGAGGGGCGCACTGACCCTCTCTACGCTGATTGGTTGCTGCCAACGTCGAGTAACCCTGCTATCTGACACACCCCCTCAGCTTGGAAGCCCTGATTGCAAGCTGCATAAACTGGTTAATCGATCCTACATATAGAGGCCTTCCAGATGCTCCTGCAACTTCTCAAGCTCAGCTTCTTTCAACGGGGATTCTTTGCGTTTAACAAGTCCCAACTGATCAAGGAAACTGGCCCATTTATTGGCTGGCAGTGACTTGGTGAATCCGTCTGCGATCATGTTGTCAGACGGAACATATTCTACCTTGATCGTCTTTCGGGTAACTTCTTGTCGTAGCCAATGATTGTGTATGTCAACGTGCCGAAGCTTTGTTTGCAATTTGGCAACGTCTTCATTTACTAGACGGATTGTCTGGGTATTGTCGCACTTGATTGTGATAATTGGATTGCTTAGGTTTACCTGAAGCTCCTTCAACAACCGCGACGTAAAGATTGCCTCCTTAGCAACAGAGATGTCAACAAGCAAGTCAAGCTGGCTTGATTCTTATCGATTGCAGATCACAGACAATATAGAGGCTCGTGCACAGTGGCACGTCCCAGAGAATGGTCTGTGATCTGCAATCGATAAGAATCAAGCCAGCTTGACTTGCTTGTTGACATCTCTGCTTAGCAACTTGTGATAGGGCAAGCAGCTCTGCTTCTGTTGTTGATGTTGTCACAGTATCTTGCTTACTTGCTCTCCAAGCGATGAGTCCTCCGAACAGCTTAATTGCGTATCCTTGCGAGCTTTTCCTGTCTAGTGTGTTGTCTGCAAATGATGCGTCACTTGCTACCTCAAGGCCATCGCCTCTACCGAGTTCGAGGGCTAGGGATTCTGTTTTCTTGAGGTACAGGAGCACACGGTCTGCAGCGTCCTGGTGTTCTGTACTTGGATTGACTAGGAAGCGAGCAAGTCGTGATGTTGCAAAGGCTATGTCGGGTCTTGTTGTGACTGCAGCGAATAGAAGCGAGCCAATCTTGCGCTGGTAGCGGTTGATCTCGGACGGCTCTGCTAGGTCACTCCTGGGTCTGAGTTCCATGCCTGACATCGGCGTGTCATGTCTGATGTCTTGTCGGCTTGCTAGTTGGCTGATTTTGTCTGCGTATGCGGCTTGAGATAGCTGTATGGTCTTCTGCTTGCGATCACGAATGACCTCTACGCCGAGAAACCACTGTAAGTTGTCTCCTCCCGTACAAGCGTATTTTTCTTGGATCTGGTTGATGGCCTTCATTGCCTCTGATTCTTGCTTTGAATGGTACGCAACGATGATGTCGTCCACATAGAAGAAGATGATAACTCCGTCTTTGATCATGCAGCATGGCTCCTGTGGTATTTGTTGAAACCCTATCGAAGCAAGAGTTGCAGTGAATTCTTTCTGCCACAGTAATGGTGAGATCCGGAGCCCATATAGTGCCTTTTGCACTTTAAGTAGAGTGCCAGGCTGGGATAGCACAGGCATTTGAACACGCGGCTACAGTGGCACAAGAAGGCCAAGAGATCTACGTATACGCAGACAACCAAGCAGCAATCCATAGGCTTAACAACCTATCGGACAACCCGGGACAACAGTGGCTACTAAGATGCATCAGAGCTGCAAAGAGAATAACGACAAAGAAAGCATCGATCCACCTGCAGTGGGCCCCAGGACATAACGACGTCAAGGGCAACGAAAAAGCCGACACGCTAGCAAAGGAAGCAGCTAAAGAGAGACCAACAACATCGACCACAGCGAGCCTAGCCTACTTAGGCACAGAAATCAACAAAATACAAAAAACAGAACAACTGATGGAGTACAAGAGGTATACCGACAGGCCCACCAAAAACAGAAGCTCCTACTCAAGGATCTTCAAGCTCAACACACATACAACAATCAAAGTCCCGAAGGGAACACCAAGAGAAATCTCGAGCGCGTTCTACTCACTCAAGCTAGGACATGGATACTTCAACTCCTACCTTAAGAGATTCAACAAGAGAGACTGCAATCTATGTATATGCTACAAACCACAAACACCACAGCATCTACTTCTAGATTGCAAACAGTACAAAACACATAGAAATACACTCAAAGAAGCAATACCACACAGACCCATCACCCTCCCACTCCTCCTCCAAACAAAGACAGGCATCAAAGCTACTCTAGCCTTTATTGCAAGTACTAGGATTGGCACGAGAAAATGGCACCTTGGGCAAACCACCGAACAGACAGACACTGTATAAAACTACAAAAACAATATTTCCTTATCTAAAAGAGCCCGCTGCTACATCTCTTTCTATTCACCACACTGCTCTTTAGCACCCGCGCCAATGGAAGACTAGCTCTGAAATTGGAGTACGCAAAACACCACCCAAATTGTACTAGACCCCAAGAAACTCCACAACGACCATCATACATAGAACGGCTTAGCCAAAGTCCTACATAGTCACCGACTGATACAGGACTCTAATGGAAATATAATCATAATAATAATAGAGTGCCAGGCTCACATGCACCACACACAACTTCGAGTTTTTTCCGAACACGTGAAACTCCATCAGAAACCAACTATATCCATCGAAAGAAATAGATTCCGACTACTCCCAAGCCGTGCAGCCGCGTGGTTGTGGAGATACAAGGAGTCTAGTACCCCAAACGCGACGCGTCCGAACTTTCAGAAGCAAACGCACAGACCAAGCCAAGAAACAACAACAACAAGACAACAGAGAGGCTAAAATGGCCCCAGATAGCGACACTATCGTAGTCCAGCTACCAGAAGACCTCCGGACCTCAAGCACACTGGACGACGAAATGGAGACCGACGAAAGGCACCAAGACAACCCAACAACACCCATCGAGCAGACCACCCAAGAAACACCAAGGTTAATTATTCAGCCACCACTAAATAAAAGACCAGCGGCATTCTCCCCAGAGATAACTACAAGAGAGAGAAACCCATTCCAGAACAGCCAAGAAAAGAAACCAAGAGCAAAGGACTCAACCCAAGCAATCTTCTGGGCAAGGGACCTAATTCTACAAGCATCTACTATGGCCGAATCCCATCTATCCCAAAACAAACTACTACAACTACTGGACGTCTTTAGAGACTTTACGGAACTAGGCAGGGTTACGCAGCAAATGACTGAGAAGTTTACAGCACAGCTTGCGTACCAGACTGCAACGCTTACAAGCGCCTCCCAACAAGCTAC